ATAGATCGTTCAAAAATCGCGTTTCCGTTGTCGCATTTGGAATAAAATTTAAATATGTATGCCTAATTGGTAATTAAACTAACATTGTAAGTAAACAGTAATTGTTCATTGTAAACGGTAAATATTTTGCTGAGAATCAACAGATAACGTTTTAATCGCCTTTAAATTTTAAGGAGCGTTTAGGCATTTCACAAAATATGTGAAAAAACAAATATTTAAATGTTGTTTCTCTATACTAGCGTTATTGTTTCTTGTTTTTTATATCTTCCATCTGCTGTCGGTAACAAGAGAAATGTAAAAAAAAGTGGGACTTAGCGCTTACGCCGCTGTTAGTTAAGTTCGGTAATTGTGTTTCCCATATATTATGAAATGTCTTAACGCACCTTAAGATTTAAAAAATCGGACATTTCATGTTCCACCAAGGGCTGATCTACGGAGGAGTGGGGGGAGGGGGCTTTCGGGCTGAAGCCCCTCTCCCCAAAAAATGGTAAAATATAAACATGTTTCATGGAAAAATATATTAAAAAATTATCTCTTAAAGTATTATTACTCGTGTAATTACATTTAAAAGGACTTAAGGAATCACTTAAACGCCATCTTATATAGATAGTTAGTTTCTTTCTTTTTTTCCAAAGTAATTATCGTCATTTTTATGAAAAAAAAAGCCTCCGGGCTGAAGCCCTCCAAAATTAAATCCTGGATCCGCTAGTGTGTTCCACTACCCTACATATATCAATATTGATATTCCTAGACGGCAGTACATCTAACACCTACTACTGCTTTATCAGAGAATTTCATTTTGTTTAATCCTATCATGATTAACAGATTTTAACGTGTAATCTCGACATAATTAAGTGGTTTTTCTTTCTTTATCTTCATTACTTTTTATGTTTGAATCTGAATCCTAATTAAGTAAATTATATATTTTATAAAATAAGACGCACAATACACTAAATATTAAGTACATTGTATTTGATGTAATCTTAAGCTTTAAATATATTTAACAAATTAAAAGAAAGACAAAAAAAGGTTTTTTTCACTCACTTTTACTTGACCTTGATTCGTTCTCGAACGATGACTCTGCTAATCAAGGAATATGTTTAGCATTTTAGCATGTATTTAGTTATTTGTTATAGACATCTTTCAGCGGTAGAAATAATTAAACTCAAGGTTATTCCTTTTCTCATTTTCATATTCAATAGCATTTGTTTTAATCTTAGCATTTGTTATACTACTGTTAATGAATATACTGTTAAAAATTTTGAATTTATATGTAAATGCATATAATCTACATGCACATGGTCGGACGTCGTTCTGCTTCATTAATGGGGAAAGGGCAACTATATATCATATATTTTAACAACAAAATACGACTTGTTCATGTACTGATTTGTTAACTAAAAGCTTTAAACTTTAGCTCGGTTAAAAATGCACATCAACAATTTTATAATAGCCCAACATTGCCAGAAAATAATTTATATCCCAGTAAAGCGGTCAGGGAAAGTTGTGGGTTGCGCGCACCAGATTTTTACAGTATAGCTCAAAAACGAAAAGTCGTACGAAAGTGAAATTGCCTATTTAAGGTTTTTATATGCTTGAGATGTTACAGCAACTTTTTCGTCAAAATCGGCTAACCGGAAGTAGCACTTTATATCATGGACTAAACAAATTTTTACAATTTTCTCAAAAACGGCTCTAACGATTTTTATACAACTAGGTGTATCATTATTGCATAATGAAGTGGTATTTAATATAATGTCACTTTACAGGGCTTAAATGTCCAATTTTCATATACGTCTTCCTCTAAAGTACCTTTAAGATGGTTTATTTTAAAAAAAATATTATCTTTTTTTATATTTAAAAATATTCTCTTTTATTAACAGTATCTATAAAAAAAATGGCTAAATATGAAGTTTAAAAGAATATGATAGTTGGAAACTGGAGAAAAAAAGAAAAATGCTTATCCAGGTTGAAAATGAATCTCCGGAAATTTTTTCGAAAACGGCCCTAAACGATTTTGATTAAATTCATTATATCAGTGTAAAATTAAGCGTTTTTAAATAAAATGTAGGTTTTATACTGATTGATGTTCTCTAACAGGACTTAAATGGATAATTTTCAATATTAACTTCCCCTAAAGTACCTTCATTTTTTTTTATTTAAAACAATTGACCATTTCACATTCATCTCTAATATAAAAGATAGTTAAATATAAAATTTGAACGAATTTGATAATTAACTAAAGGAAAAATAAGAGATCGTAACGGAGAATTGTTGTAATTAGAAACCAAAGGAATACAAGCGCACCCGAAACATAAGAACATGCTTAATATAATAAGGACTCCAAAAATGTTATGTAAATGTACAAATGCGGTTTTCAGAAATGCTATTGTTGGTATTATTTAATATTTAATTGTATAGATTACAGCAATATAAACATTAAAATTTGTATATATAAGGGTACTTATACAAATAAAAATACCCACAATGAAATATAAATCAATATAGCGTTTATAATTTTTACTTTCACTTCCCCTTTATCTGAAAATACTTATTTCTGCTAAGAGAGTGGTAAGTGAAAGTTGTGTGATGCGCGCACCGCATCAGATTCTTTTTAAAAACGATACCTTATTAAAATATCATTTTCGCGTTGGTTATTATCATTAAGTCCAAACAATAGTGGTCGAATTCTAACAATTGATCAACAATGCGAACTTTGCTGAGCAGTTCTGGATAATCAGTTTCTTAACAATTATTCGTTATTAATAAAGTTTAAAATTATAAAATCAGCAAATATTATATAAAACTCATATCCTGGCGAAGAGCTACGTGGCCGCCGAAAATCTTGTTTGCTCTTTCCGTTCTCCAGCTTTTAGCTTCCCTAACATTTTTTGTCTTTTCCGAAAATCGGAATCATTTGAAAACGTCGCGAGACGCGGGACAAATTGTTAAAAAGCGGGACGTCTGGTCACCTTAAGTAAGATTGGAAATTTTATCAGTCAGTGGTTGAATATTTGAAACTGCTAGACTACAAAGCCTCATCAGGTAGAAGTCATAATTTAACCGTCGTGCATTTTATTTAAAATACGTTTATTTATATCGAAAATAAAATAAAACAACATAAATCTTAATTAATTGCCTTGCCCTCTTCTTCTGAACTTTACCCAAGTAAAACAGCTACGTAAGATTTGTAATTGGTGCCCCGAGATATTCCCAAGTGTCTCACCACTACACTGAGTTAAAGTGGCTCTTCCCCTCCATTTGAAGACAATATTCCCTAGGTACGTTCCTCTATCAAATCATCAACAATCATCGTCCTTCTTACGCCTACAACCTTCTCCAATTCAAGTCCTCAGTCCACTCCTTTTTCACAAGATCTCGACCTTCCGATCTTTACATTCCTTCTCACAGATCTGCCTCGTTCCAAAACTCTTTATTGCGCGCTCTGTTAATTTCTGGAATTCCCTTCCTATCAAAATTCGGCATTCTCCCTCCCTATCTACATTTAAAACCCTCCTATTCCAATTTCTATCCCAAAAACAGTCAGACACCCCCCGCTAACCTTTTATGTAAATTTACATATTATTCAAAATGATTCACATAATGATATATTTACATATAATTCATCACTAAAATACTTACTATCAGATTCATCTTCTTTTTCTTTTTTTTATTCTGCAGAAACACAGAGTTTATTGCTAAGAAGAATGTAATGTATTTTTTATTTATTTTTTTTTAAAAGTGTATACTTATGTTTTACCACTGTACATAGTTTTAAGTGTCGTAGCATGGTTTCAAGTGTTTTGTATATTTTTTTTTTGTTTTGTACATAGTATGTTTAACTAATATTTTCTTTACTTTTTTCTTTATTTTTACTTTTTATGTTTGTTTTTACTTAGGCCAGATATAATACTTTAATTTTATACTTCTTTGTTATTCTAAAGGGACTTTGTCCCAGAGTAAAATTATTTTTCTATTCTATTCTAAAAGAGATAGTTGCTACTTTTCGCTTAAAAAATTACAAAAAAAAAGACTCCATTTCAACTTTTAAAATGACGAATTCCAATAAAACACGTTAAAATAAGGACAACCAAAGAATAGTATAAAATTATTTAAAAAACTCAGAATTTTTAATTTACGTAAATTGAATCATTATATGTGAAATTAGCTACAGATACAAAACTATGACGGATTATTGGTTTACCATTAATTATTAAATAAACATGTACTGCCGTACGCATTATATTTCACTATCACTAATATGACTTTCAGTTTTTGGTACCGCTAGATTGAAATCCAATCCTAGGATGTCCAATAGGCCACACTGTGCTTCCTCAGGATGTTTTCCTTGGCACTTAGTCAACGCTACTTTAATTTATGTTGAATTGACTTAAGTACTTTTTTTAAATTACACTATTTATTAATCCGTACTTTATTTTTAATTGGATGGAATATAAAAATATTCTAAAAGCTTCTAAATTATTATAACAATTCGGGGATGGATTAATTATTTTATTAATTTATTGTTGGATTCAGTCAATCTTGAAATGTTGAATCTCATCGATTACAAAAGTACATTATTGGAAATAATAAATAAAAGACAGTTCTTCCTGACAATGTAGTTTCATCGTAATAATCAGTCGACTAATTATCCGCCACTAAATTCTTCCTTATCATGTACCGAGTCCCAAGACTCTTTATCAGTTGTAATTCATTTTTTTTTTTCTTTAGCTTAAGTTTATCGATGTTATTGCAATGTCATTGAATTGTAAACCAGTGATATTCATTAATTTACCGAAGTATTATTTTATTACATATTATGGAAATCAGCCTTTTTAACTTAGAAATTATTGAATTGTAAATATGTTCTTTTTTTTCCTCTCTCTGCCAGCTAAGGAAAGGTAAGGACATTGTTAGCGTCAAAAAAATGATTGATTCGAGTGCTTATCATTTTTATCAGATAGTAGAAGGTCATCTGTCACAAAGATATTAAAAGACGAGAGGGGAGGGGGTAAAGGGTAAAGAACGTAAAAGGAAGCTCAATTCTTTAGTTTTCTTTATTCTTCGCCTTGGTGTGGCGAATTTAAGCTGTTCAGTTGTAACGAAATTCATACAAGCCAAAGAAGTCCTCCTGATGTCGAGTATATCTCAACGCTCGAGAGGGAAGGGATGGAAATTGTTATCTTGTTTATGAAACACTGACAGGTTTAAAGCTCAATTGTTGGATTCAGTTTATCTGAGATGTGGGACTTTCTCAATTTTCAATATTTAACATTCGTATGATTTTAAGTTTCTTTAAAATATCAGGGTTGATGAATAAAATTTAGTTATAGTAGGTGAAAATAAAAACATAAACAAAAATGGCTGTTTTTAGTAAATACAATGTCTTAGACACTACTTGCAAGGCCTATGTGCATCCATGGAGTGATTCTTGCACAGCTGCTTCCTTGGACCTTTTATTACCATGCTTGAAGGAGTCTTTTAGGATTTATTTAATTGCATATAGTGTAAGTTAAAATAATTATTCCATCACCTTATTATGGCATTGAGCCCTTCATGTCCAAAATTTATTTTAGGTTGCACTGATTATGAGGAAAAAGGTGCCCTCAAAAGTTGAAATCAAACACACAATTTTAGGAATCATTCGATCTTGTATATTTCTGACTTCTCATGGTATAGGTTACTCGGCAGTGTTGTGTTTTTTGAGGTATATTTCAACAATATAAGTTTTTTTAAGTGTGTATTCTTATAACTTTCCATTAGTTTATTTGTGAATTACCTTTGTAGGAGAATCTTTGGAAACTTCAATTTTTTGACTGTATCGTTTCTACCATCTTTTTTATCCAGTATAATTTCTATTTTAATTGAGCGACCTTCAAGAAGAGGGCTGTTAAGTTTATATGTCACCAATGTAGTAAGTAATAATACCCATTAAATTTAATTTACTTTATTTTGTAATGAAATTTGGGTAATATTATTTTTTTTCATTAAAGGCTTCAGAAACATTGTTCAAAATGGTGGTTTCTCGTAATTTAATTAAACCAATTCGCTATGGTGAAGTACTTGTTTTCGCATCATCTATTGCTTATTTATTATATTTTTATAAAGGACGTGGCTTACCTAGGGACCCAATTTATTCATTACTGAGGTAATATTGTATTTCATATGATAACCCATGTCTGCATACGATTTAAAATACAAAAAATGAGTTATATTTTTTTTCTCAGATTTCTTATTGGACCTTATGATGAGCATGGTTTTTGTAAGGAAGAAAAATTGTCTTATCCTCCTACTCGCCAATTTGTAACTGATGATCTTGACTTTTTCTCAAAACTTTCTATAAAACTAAAATACAGATTCAAAGAAATGATTCACAAAATCAAAATACTCTCTTCACATCCATCATGCCCTCATCCATTCAGCTGTTTGTATTATACTCTTCAAGTAGGTAAATAAATAGTTGGTTTAGTATTAGATTAGAACAAGCAATATATTATCACTTTTAATTTATTTCTGTATCTAGGGTTCCTCTAAAACTTTTGCAGTAGGTTTAGTCCTGCAACTGGCTTTGAAAATAATTATGAATTTTAAGAAATTAATTAAAAGACCTTCAAATTTGAAAAACATTGTTTTACAAAAAGAAATCTTGAGATTAGGAGCCACATTTGCCAGTTTTACTGCTTTGTTCAGGGCAAGTATCCAAATTTAAATAAGTGGTATGAATTGTACATCAATAAATTTATATTACTAAGTAAGATTTGAGCACATTTTCATTAGGTTGTTCATAGTGAATTTATGTAATTAATGTTTTAAATTTTTAATCAAGAAAATATTTACGTTTTTTAATTTTTCCAGCATTAGAGAAGTTTAGGTATCTAGGTTCTATAATAACTAGAAAAAAAAACAAATTGAAGAGGAGATCAAGATTAGGCTGAAATGCTTGTTATTTTTCTGTGACAAAACTACTTAGCTCTTGGCTCTTGTCCCGAAACTTAAAAATTAGAATCTATAAAACCATTATTTTACCTACAGTTCTTTATGAATACTAAACGTGGCCGCTTACATTAAGGGCAACGTCTTAAGGTTTTTGAAAATTAAGTATTGCGTAGAATATTCGGACCAAAGAAGGATGAATTAACCAGAGAGTTCAGACGGTTACACAACCCTGAATTGTGTGAACTGTGCTTTTTGGCCTTCCATGGGGTTCTTATGCCTACTACTGTTGGTCTACCGTGAGGCTCTCCAAGTCCAATGACTAAACATTTTATATTTGTAAATATTTATATATTTTTATAAATAATATCATAAGGTAATATGGTTAAATTAAAAGAATTAGATTGAGAAGAGAATGATATACATATGCAAATGTTTAAAGATAGAAAAATAAGGTGATTCTGAGGATGAAATATGACCTCGAAATGTTGATTGTTTACAAATTAATTATAATAATTATTTTAGGTTATAGTATTTAAGAGTTGTTTGTTAAAAAAAAATTGTATTATATATATATATTTATCAATTATGCTTTGCTATAATTATGTGCAGGGAGTAGCCTGTTTACTGAGAAGATTTAGAGGTTCTGATTCTGACCTGATAGCGATTCCAGCTGGTTTTATTGCAGGCTTGGCTTTCTATTTGTCCAGAGATAATACGATTGCTCTCTATTTTATGTGGAAAACATTCCAGGTAATTAGCAAGCATTAAAATAAGTCCAAATGATTTTATAATGAATCTGGTTTTGTAAGATTATTCTATAACTTGTTCCAGATATCATACAACTTAGGTGTTGAGAAAGGTTATGTTGTAGACATTCCATACGCCAGTGTGTTTTTCCATGCTTTTTCCACAGCCATCTTATTTCATGTTGCCATTGTGGAGCCTGAAAATCTGAGGCCTTCATATTGGAGATTCCTCCAGTCTATGTCCAATGGAAGGTAATATTAATTTGTGATATAAATTAAAAAACAAAAATTTCTTCTCCCTCTATAGGTTTATTGTGCACATTGTTTGCATTAACCTATTGCTTTTAGAAATTATTACACTAATGACTATTGTAGAAATATTTACCGCTTTCATCACTTTATATATGATTCTACAGTACCACAGGATTGATTTCTCAATATTACAATTTTTATAAATAATTATTCATTGCTGTTATTTATCAAAATCACCCAAAATAATTAAAAAGCACGCATAATTTATAAAAAAAAAAATTAAAAAATTTACCATTCCGGTTAAGTATTATGTAGCAAAGGTATTCTTTCTTGGTCAACAGTTGTACAAGGATGTGATAGGACTGAGAGCACTCTAAACCGTCAGGTTTTCTCCCTAAATCAATTATTTTAATTAAGGGTACCCACTTTATACTTTATGGGGCTGGGTGTACCCCAGGCATGACTCTCGGCCCCAGGTTAATAATTTATTTGACAAAGCCGGGATTCGAACCTGGGACCTTGAGAATTGGAATCTCAGCGCCCTATCACTGAGCTACTGCACTCCTTACATATAGTTTATACACATTTTAAATTTAGAATTCTTAATGGAGGCTTGGTGATTTACAAAATTACTGTACATACATTTCTTTATTTCAATTGTCCAAAAAGAGTATCACATACTTAAAATAAATTTTCAGTCCTTGAAAAACACTTGTTGATAAAATTATTCAGGTATCTTCAAATAATGTAGCCTTTACGCTGAGAGAATCCTTATCACTGTCCATAGACGAATCTCTTGACAAAATTCTATATCACAACTAACCTTCCAGGTCTATGAAACCTCTTCTTTTATAGTGTGTCCTTTGTGCCTAAATGGTTCTAGAAGCTTTGATGCCACACCTTTTTCAAATTTTGTGGAATCTTCTTTTTAATGCTATCTAGATTTTTTTTTTGTAACCTCCCAATTTTTATAACTTTTGAAGCATAAAACCATTATATTATTTAATTTAATGTTATGGATTTCAAATATTTCAAATTTAGTAAATTACTTTTATAACTTAAAATTAAAAGTGGAAACTTAAAACAAAGTTACTTATTATTAGTTATTAGTTACTTTTCCAGGCTGAAGCTGAAGATTCCACTTCTGTTTTCAGCCTTACTAATTTAAAAAACTACAAAAATTTGATCCATAATGAAAATTTGATGTTATTGCTGGAACTTGGCTAGCAATAAAGCACCTGATTTCATTTTAATTCTCCTTTCTTGAACTAATTATAATTGTGCGAAGCGTAACCTGCCTCTGTTCTTTTGCCCTGAAGTTTAGGATAGTCACTGAAACATATGCTCAAATTAAAACAGCAATAAATTTACTAACCTTGGCAATATAGACTATGGTCCAATTCCGCTCAGAAAAACAGGAAATTTGTGCGCATTTTTTAAAGCTAGTTTCTAGTTTATGAGCACACAGTAATTTAATTTTGTCTCCTTATAGTACTCCTTGGCCACAGTTAGAGAGGGCCCTCCCACTCTTTGCCCATTTTTCTTCCTACTATTCCATGGTTCTGCCTTTTTTAGCCTTAGACAGTGAATATCAGTTACAATTATTATTAAACAATAATTAATTTTTTTCTCTGACCTGGGATTTATTGTTATAAATTAATTACTTATTGAAAATTATTATGTATATCTATTATGTTTTTGTACTATTATTTATTCCTTATTTAACTTTATAGTCATACTGTTAAATAAATGTAATAATAATTAAAATTGTCAACACAGAAACATTTATTACAATATTTCTGATTTTTTCAGGATTGCTCAGATGGATAGAAAATGTATAGACGCTTTTGGATTAAAAACAAGTGAATCGTTAGCTGTTGTCTTAGCTAGGGAAAACAAAGTTCCAATATTGACCAATCACTGACTTAAACCATCGTAATTATTTTTTCTTTACCCAGGATAATTGAGTTTTTAGATAAAATTCTTTTATTTTATTTTTTACTGTTTTATGGTGAGGTATTTGTTTTTAGTATTGATTCCCCAGTTGTCACTAAAAGCTATGTTGATGAATGAAAAAGAAGCTTCATTAATAGATACAAATGAATCAAAATATTAATTGATTATTGTGATTGCAAGCAAGATTAATATGTGACATTATCAGATCAATTTATTTGGTGCAAAAAGTTATATAATATTGTAACCTAAACAAAGAGAAGTAGATATTTCAATTAATCAAGTCATTTTACACTTTTTAGAGAATGAAATAATTTTGGAAAATTACTAAATGTTGTAGTAGTGAGGACATATTATAAATATCACTTTATCAAAATTAATGCATCTTTAACAGTCTTATGAAATATCAGAAAATGATGAAGTCTGTGACAGAAAAATTTATGGAAACTTAAAGTAATTTTATTTTTTGTAGACTAAAAAGAGTTATTTACTTTTATTTTTTTATTATGGATAAAAGAAGAGAGGCCTTTATGTTCAGAGTTAGTGCAAACATTTTTTAGTCAATTTAAACTATATTCTTTGGTTTCAAATTGTATCTCTTAAACAATATCTTTTATATATTTAAATGAAAGAGATATATTAATTTTTCCCCCAATCTGGATTACATTTTATTGCATTCAAGATAACAATGATAAGATACAATCAATCTAAAAAATGAATAATTTGTAATCCAAAAACTTATTTATTTTCCATGGAAACTTTGGTCAAATAAAGAAAAAATTTTAACTGACCATTTTCAAAACTTGAATACAGTACTTTATTATTAAAACAATTAATACACAATTTATTTTATCTTTTAATAGTAATACTAATACTAAAACATCTGATAATAAAAAATAAAAAAAAGGAATAAATATATTAAATTAATCTATAAATATATTTATAGATGGGTAACATTAACATATTTCATTTAATAAATATTCCTTCATCGAGCCAAATAATCAGATTTAAGATTATGAAGGACTATTATCCCTGTGTGAGAATTCTTACATTAGATATTTCCATTCTTCTCTCTATAATACAGTACATATGGTAATACATAAGTATAAACAATTTTAGAAAAACATTTTTATTTGTATGTAGGAAGTCGTATTTAATAATCACAATTGTTAAAGCTTCATACTTTTTTAATTACTAAGCTGTTTATATGGATTGGTGCATGTAAAAGAGCAATAGATTTGGTTGATTGTTCTCTCGTTCATTAAAAATGGAGTATAGAATTTACATCTTCATGGTGGTTATAACCAAGGAAATCAAAACGTATTTGTTTTTATTGAAATTATCTGTTTTTGAGGTGCCCAAGTGATATCATTGCTTTATTTAAATTTTAAGTTTTTTTTTTAAATTTTTAGTTAACCATAGTGCAAGGTTCTCAAAACTTTTGGCCCGTAGGCTATATTGAGACCTCGACTTATTGCCGTGAGCCGCATTGAGACTGCGGGCTATGGCTTGTGATGAAAAAAAAAATGTTAACTCTATAAATAGCACATGACGCTATGAAATGAACTTTCTTAGAGAAAATAATCATGCAATAAATGTTTTAGTAAGCTCGTGTGTGAGTAATTAGCTAAATTTCACATTTTTTAAATTTTTCCATGCAATAAAAAAAAAAACGGTGGGTCGTATTGAAGGTGCTTGTGGGCCGTAGTTTGTGATCCCTGCCCTAGAGGATAGTAAATACCAATATTTCAATTTCTAAAAACCTAAATATGTGATAAATATTTCATGACAATCGTGGGACCTAGTCAGTAATAATTACTGTTTATCTCGAAAACAGTATATTTTAATGCTTTAAAATGCACAGTATATTTTGAAGGAACTTTACCAGATCAAAATGACCGCATTTAGATCTTAAAGACACAATTTCTTCTGTCTCAATCCTTCGACATACTAATATCAGTTTTGAAACCTGATTTTTCGATTAATTTTTTTAAGTTGCAGTAGAGATTTAAGGAATGAATCTGTGATTTGTTACTTATTGAAAATTCTCTTTCGTTTGCATCTCATTTGTCAAATCCATTGCTCTACAGAGCTGAAAAGGGATCTATATTGCCTTATTTTATGTTTATTAGATATCATATTACTTTCTTCCATAACTTTTAATGACTGTGATAATTTTGTATGTTGCTAAGTTTTAACCATTTAAATAATTAAGTAGTTACTTAAAGAACTATTCCTATTTTAGAGTTTTTATCCTCCTATGTACTATTTTTTCTCTAACTTAACTCCACCTCTCATTTTGAAAATAATTCTTAAGAAGAAATTCAACTTCTATGAAATCAATTTCCAAATTTTACACATATCTTAAAACGAACCATACGTTTGAATTACACAGATAAATAGCATCATATCTGAAAATATTGTGGAGCTTTAAAATTGAAATTGTGCAATTGAGTTTTAATTTGTTCATTCCCATGAGACGGTGTTTTCTTTTCCATAACTTTTCATTTTATCTTAGGTTTTAATTAACAGAAAAATAAATCATTAAAATAATAATAATCTGTTTTCGTTAGTTTCTGAATTCTAATTGAAGTTAGTTTAACATCTCCTGTTGGTAGTTTTATGTTCCTATTTAATCATTTTCTTTCTACTTAAACTTATCTAGTTGTGACCGAGTGAGCCATGGTGTTGACTGCTTTAGCATTCTTGAGTCCGAAGCAGCTTCAGTTTGAATCGAGCCAGAGCGGCTTAAAATTTATTTTGTGGCAGGCCTGTGAAATAAATCTTGACCTTCGCACACTGGCTATACTAGGTTGGTTATCTGTAGAATGCCCCGTCTTTCCTGTCTTAGAATAGTTGAGGGGATTAAGCCAAAATAAACCACAATTTACATAATTAAATTAGTGTTCTCAATCTTAATTTTAAGTTTATACAAGCTATTTTTGTGGTTAAGATTTTATGAAACCTTTATTTTAGTTTGAACATAATTTAAACCATAAATTATTACACTTTTATTTTTTAGACATGGCTAATTTTTTTATTGGAAATCTTACATTCTAGAATAAATATTTAAAATATCACTACAATATGGTCAATGCAAAAGATTGGATGTAAAAATAGACTTTTTTACTTAACAGCATAAAAACAGATTATTTCATTATGATTTATTAGTATAATTTCATGTTTTATTTCCCTCTGCTGTTTTTTTGCTGACTACAAAATGGCACCTTTAGCTTAAAGAAAATAAAAATGTAAAATTGTTATATGCGATCTTTTGCAGTAACGGTAAAGATATTATAATTACTAAACATAAAAATTTTATTTAAATTTATAATGTATTGCATTAAAAAAAAAAAAAAATGTTTTTTTGTTTTCATTATAATTTTTACTTAGTGCTGAATAGATTATACCTCTGAGGATTGATTATACCAAACTATTTCCAAATTCTTTTAATATCTATCATGTAATCTACTGAAAATTACATATTGATATTCGCTATATTTTAGCAAAACTTTTTCCTGCTTTGGTATTTTTAGGTCAACTCTTCTTAAGAATTAAGAAAACTTTTTTCTTAATAATAACAAATAAAAAAAAATTTATTTTTAAAATTCTCATAAGTTTTATTAAGCCGGTGTTTTGCATAATGAAACTTGTGCTAAAATGTGGACACCATCATTTACTTTATGGGGAATAATACATTAATATGATTTAATAAACATTAAAATTTATTTATTTGGTTTTAATAAATCAAATAAGAAGAAATATAAGTCTAATTTTTAGTAACACGATTGATTTTTAATATGAAATGACTTGCAACTTTGTTTTTGTTTTATTTTTTTTCTACTTAACTTTTAGCCTCATTAATTGTTAACTTTCAACTATGTTAAACTAAATTTTACTTTTTTTTAATGACTGTGATGTCTATTTTTTAGTCCTTTTACAACTCATATTTTGTTAAAATTTGGAAAATAGTTTGATAATCCATCAAAAATGTTGATTGTATAAGATGACTTGATCAATACTTGTAATTTTTTGCTGTTTTAATTAAACAGTTTATTGTTTTTACTTTAAGATTGATATAATTTTGAGTGGCTCATTATTACATGATTTAATTATTGTAATTGGTTGCCAGTAATTAAGAAAAATAATAATAATGCATTCATCTAAATACATTATTAGTTATAAGATTGATATTTTGGTTACGGGTTTTGTTTTTCTTGTTTTGTTTGTCTTTATCGTCAAGACATATTTCTATTCTTTTTTTAATAGCCGTCAATATTAATGATAGATAAGATATATAAAAAGACTGTTACGATAGATAAACAATTATGCCGCCTTAAATTACAATGAAACTGATGTAATAATTATTATTGTTAAAAGTTTTTCCTGTGATATTACTTTGATTTAGTGATAAGAGATAAGCATAAAATAAGTGACCTTAAGAACATGACATGTTTTGTACTTGAACTTTTCCCTTACACTAGTCCTTTATTGTTTCATGTTATATGTACATATATATATTTTTTATGTTTAACGAAAGATAAAACTATAAATATTGTTACTTATTTGAATCATTTATAAATAAATATATATTTTTAATACATAGTTTTTAATTTCCTTAATTATTTATATTTTAATTAGTATAATATATACTTCAAATGAAGTACAGTGAAACTTCTCCTCAACAGTCAGCAGTAGTTCTGACAGATATTTGCAAAGTAGTATTCACTGGTAGAATAGAAAAAAACATCCAAAACCCAAACAGCGAAAAAAAAAAAAAAAATTAAACATGTAAGAAATTGTTCATTACCATTTTTATAATAACTCGTAAAAAGTGCCAAAGAATTCCACATGGAGTTTTAAAGGGGAAAAAGAAGAAGGATAAAAAACATATTTTTCTTTAGTTCTACCCCAGTCTTTATACTTAGCCCGCCACTCCTACTTATCTGACGCACCTTTCGAGTTCGCTGTAGTACAGAATTTTCCACTGGTGTTCATCAAGGTAGCGTTTTGGGTCGTGTCTTTTATATCCTCTAACATTATTATAACCATACTTACAACTACATCATTTATACAAATAAATCTTTTAATATTATTATTAAACATTGCATATGTAAAATATTCCTAATTGATTTAGAATTAGTTGAATAGAATCATGTACAGATCTAAACTGTAAATAATGTCATTGGTGGGATGAGTCGCCAAGAAAAGTAAATGTCTCAATCTGATAAAATCATTTTAATAACTGAAAGTTGCTCTGATTAAAAAATAAGAAAATATTTTAATTTTATATATAACAAAAAACATTATTGTTTTTTGTTGTCATTCTTTTTTTTCCAGTTTTAATTATATCACTATATACTTCACAATTAATTATTTAAAAAACATAGATCGATTGATCAATGGTTCATTGGAAGCCACAACAAATAATATAAGGCTACCACTTTTTTAACTTTAAAGTCTATTTAATATATATAAAATGGGACACCATATTACACAAAAAGGAGAAGAGAAAGAGAGACATAATTTTAATATAGTCACAAAATGTCTCAACCTCGACTGGGTTCAACTATTATTACTTTTTTTTTCATTTCTTTCGCTCTAATTCATAAACATTATTTTCATTTCTTTTACAAACCCATAATTTGAATTCTCTAGAAATTGGTTTAGTAATATTTTCAGTAACACTTTCAAAGGCTTCGGGGCTAGGAGTATTTCCAGAAACATTTTCCTGATCCTTAGAATTAGAAATATCTTCAGCAGCTTCTTCTTTGGCCTTGACCATCGAGTTCATTTCCTTAATACGGTTCCTAAGATTTTCTCTGAAACAAAAAATAAATTAAAAAAATCATGTGTATTTATAAAAGATTATAATTAAGGAACATTTAATTTTTTTTTTTTATTCCTCACCTATAATTCTTCTCTTTTTCAACTTGAGTCAATATTTCACCACCTAGATTAACTGATTTGAAAATTCTGGACACTTTATGAACAGAAACACCTTCACCCTTGAATATTTTACCTAATTTAATAATTTGATGAAGAGTTTTGGTATTAATCGGACACTTCATCATGTCTGCCAAGCTAAAAGAAAACATACTTTTAGTAATTCTGAACAGCTAATGCAGTAGTCGGACAATGCATAGTAATCTGTATCATGAAAACTTTTTTAAAAATTATATTCAATGATTAAGTAGAAAAAAAGTTGTAACTATTTTCACATATTTACAACAAAAATATTCTAGGTCACTCGGAATAATTTTAAGTTCAAACTTTTTGGTCTAAAATAAAGATAAGTGGGCATCAGTTATGATGCTTCTCAATCAATTATCTTAGGTTTCGAAAAGTTAATATTTGATGGATTCTGAGGTTGACTAAAAAATTGAAAAAAAGTTAAGGTTGTATAGAAGTTAGAGAGACCTCTAAGACCAACTGAACATTTTTATAGATATAAAAAATGAAAGAAAAACTTTATTAAATACACAAATAATAAAAAAAAAAACCTATACCACTACTTAAGAAAAGTCTTGGATTGGTTGAGTAGTAAGTATTGTTTGTTGGTTAACAGTGGTGAAAGCAGGTGACTGCACTAAGAACACATTTAATTACCAGGCTTTTCCCTTAATTAATTTACTAATCAAGAGTACAAAGATGATTTATTACTTATTAATAGAGATTGGGTATGCCCCAAGAGAGCTCTGTTCTCTTGATTCCATGGCTGGTGTAACAGAATAAATAATTACATACCACAGGCAGACTAAAACATGGGACCAGGAAAATAGGAGCCTTACTCGCTGAGCTTCCTTACTTCCTCTAGAGGAGATAATAAAGAGAAAAGAAATGTTTTGAGGATTGCATTTTTGTTTTTACACCAGACAACCATTGAATGCAGTGTAAATAGACCTTGAAGAAAATTTGAGTATTATATTTTAAATATATCAGCCCCGTGATCTCCTAATGTAGTCATATCATTAGAATGCTACCATTGGGTAGTTACTCAGCAAGTGTATTCATGTCATTATATCTATTATGTCCAAATTTACTTGATGTATTTATGTAATACAGTTGTAAATGTCATTAAGAAATTTAAAAAAAATAAAAAAAAATGTATCAATATCTAATAATGTCATATATCCTTATTTTTCTTCTGTACCATTCAAAATAAATTCTAATCACATATATGTGGTATTTATTAAATATATCGACAGCCACACTGCAAAGCAAAAGCCTGTAAGGACATTTTCTTTGGAAAATGAGGTTTTAAGCTTTTCTGGTCAATCTTCCTGGAACATATTCTGATCCTTTAAAATGAAATCTACAATTTTTCATTTTTTTTCTATGGCCTTTTATAAAAAAAACTGTAATTTAAAAACCAGCAAATTGTGATGTAAAAAACTGTAAGTTACAGTGAAGGTTATAGAGATTGTGTCATTACCGAAAAAAAAACATTATGAAATGCTCAATGAATGGTGGTCATGTAAGTAAATAATGTAAAAAGTGTTTTGCACATAGACTACAATATCAATTAGCTTTATTAATAAGCTAAAATGATTGTCTCTCATACCCTTTGTATTTTTTTTTTAAATTTCTAAAAAGTGGCGGGCACTTTCAACCTGGGCGAATATCCGGTTTCCACTGCCCTCAGGCAAACACTGCTTACCATGGAACTAGACAAAGGAAAGAAGAGAGTGGTAAGTGGGAATATAATATTCAACAGCCTTCAAAACAATCGAAAATTCATGGTAACTGCAAAATGAGCTTGACTGGAAAAAAGTTACAATGCTGCCAAATTCCAGATTGTTAGAGATAGAGAATTGATTACATTAATTGAAAAATTAAATACGAGATGAAAAAAGAACTTTAGTTTCATCTTTTCAAACCAATTAATTTTAGAAACCGTGAGAAGCTCAGAAACGAAGTGACCTAAACATCAGCAGGTTACCTAGAACTTAACAACTATGTCCATATGAATTTGAGTAAGTGAAAAATTAAACTTTCATAATCTACTCAAAAATGGGGCGCATGCACTCCGTTCAAAACACTCCTACAGTGTGAGACAAAAAATGAATAACCCGTTTGATCAAATATTCGCTTTCCAGTCAAAATTTCATTTGAAGTATTGTTTCTCTACATTTTGGAAACTGACTTTGTTCCTGTCATGATTCAATCATTATTATCAAAGTTATGGGTATTACTCCAATAAATTTGATTACTTTAACGTAACTAATACATTTTTTTTTTTTTTTCAAAGTGACTAAAAAGCTATGAGTTAGAAGTAATGGCTCTAAAAGATTATTTGGCAGAAATTCGATCAAAAAAGTTATATAGAGCATTATATATTTGTCTTAGACCTGCAAAAAAAATTGTACAGAAAATATACTCATAGAACAAAAATTACACAGTTTTCTTGGTCTCCTGAAAATTTTTAGTATTTGTTCTTACAGGCTTTTACAGTGTGGTTGTGGATATGTAATGAAGGACATAGGGAAAATTAAGGCTGATCCAATTTTTCTCATCTAAAGTTAAGGATAGAGTTAGAGCTAGTCTTCTTTTACTCAATGCTCTGGGTATGTTACATGTTTTAAAAAATATTGTTTTTGTTTTACTTACTAAGTATAAAATAAGTGTACTCACGCTAAGAGACATTGTTCTGTGAATTCTGTTGGTCTCAATGCTATATATTTAATTAAACTAACAACTTCCCAATGTGCAAGAAATATTGGATCTTGTAGGCGTAAAACATTTCGTAAATTTGGATTTTTTTGTTCAACTCTATGAAAAATACATGCTAATATTTTGGTGTCACTCTGACCAATTAAGTTCAAATTTTTTTTTAAAAGCAACTTCACGAATTCTTTTCGCTCATTTGAATCCAAATAGGAATATTTAGCTTTTCTTTTACTGTTTGATAATTTACCAGATATTGTTTCAGCTATCATAGTATTTTTCAAATATTCTACTTTATAACGTTTCTGTAAAGCTTTACAGAGTTCAACATTCCATATACCTGCTTGGTATGCCCTTTCACCAGTATTTTCATATGATTTATCAGCCATGGCTTTTAAAAGAACAGGTAACTTAAGCCAAGAATGCATTGCTTTAACAAATGTTCCCCATACAAAACATCTCATGCCTGAAACATACCAAATTTATATGTACACAAAAAAGTTCACATACTCTCTAAACAAACTAAGATGTAAAACTATTACAATGTCAAATACAGATTTGAATGAAACTTGGCACATAGATTTAAACCATAAATAAAATATTCATAATATTGCAGAGATGGCTGGCCGTGATATAATATGAGAAGGAGTTGATCAGGGGGGTGCGGTCAAATAAATACTAAATTATAGAAATAGTATTATTTAATTATTATGCCGACATTTCGACCCACCTTGCAAGTCTTCATCAGGGTGTGGGATGTGGCACTGCGGGAGGCAGTTGAAACACTGGAGTGTTTACAATATATTGACCATTATTTAATATAACTTCTTCCCATCTTTCCACTGACTGCATAATGCCATGTTCATAGAATGTCTGGAGTTTATTGTTAAAAACTGATCCAAGTGGTGAAAAAAAAAATCATGTGAGAGACCCAAACAGTAAGCTTGGAAACATAGCTGAGCTTGGGCAAATGGTTTTCTACGCCTGTGTGTGACACATTTAGGACTGTAGCAATCTCTCACACTGATTGTGTGCGATTTTGATCAACAACGGCCTTAACATTGCTCGTTTCAATTTCATCCCACAGGCAACCAGACTGTTGAGCACCATTGATGTCGAAATTTCCAGAATGAAATTTGGCAAACCAATTTTGACAGGTGCGTTCGGTTAAGGCATCATTCCCATAAAAACTACTAATTTTTCTATGAGCTTCTGCAGCACGCTTACCTTTTTTAAAATAATACAACAAAATATGCCGATAATGAATGATATTTTTTTCCATGTTCACAGTACAATAGCAAACACAATACTAAGCTAGTTTCAATAAGAGTTAACAGATATAGTTGTTGAAATATTTCAAACAGGATGAACAATCCACCTTAGGGATTAATTCATCAGATAAGAAGTGTATCATAGTGACATAAAAATAAACAGAAAAATCTTACTTATTTGCCTACTTAAAAGACTTATTTGCCAACCCAATATTATGTTTAATTTATCTATAAAAATGAAGAATCACAAGTGGACAATACAGTTTAGCATCTAGATAAATCAGATTTTTTTAATAACTATCTAAATTGGAGATCTTTTAGTTAGGAATACACATTTTTTTAAACATTGTTTCTTAGGAAATAATAATTTTAGATCAGAACTAGATTAGAACTATTTTAGAAGCAATATTTATTTTAATAGAAATTAAAAGTACGTAATAATTTATTTAATATCTTATTTAAAAGAAATAACAAATTAAATAATTATAATTATAAATAAAAACAGAATTTATTTCTCAACCAAAATTTTATTTTTATTTTTTCAACTTTCTTTGGTTGATGAGTTGGATATTTGGGGATTTTTCTGCCCTTTTTAAAGTGACAACCTTCGTTCCCTCCCTCTCTCCCTACGCTGCACCACTATATATCGACTGATCACAACTCCTGACAAAGCGACAGAAACAAAGATTGTGACTCACAAGTATCTTCTATCGCTTTGTGAAATAAATAAAAAATAAGTACCTACTTTTAATTTTTTGAGTTTTTATTTATTTGTATTTTTCTACTGCCTTATCAACTTAATAATAATGCTTAAACAAGATTTCATGTTTTTAATGTTCTCATTTCTAACTTTTCATTATTTTATTCATCAAATCTTCTATTATACAAAAGCAAAAACATGTGTATCCTAAATACAAGCATATCATATATTCCATGCACTATGGAAATTACAATAACAAATTACTAAAATTACTTATAACAAAATTATATATTTGATATAACTTTACCATTATGCTGAACAGAATCATCTATTAATTTTTCTACTAAGATGTTTATCGTATTTACGCCATAAACATTTTCTGAATAAATAAACTCCTTCAATAATTTAAGTAATAAGAAAACCATCCTTGAAATAGAATATTGTTTTAATTTTTCCAACTTCAAAATTGTACTTTCACCTTCCTTCGAATCCTCAGGTTTACACCTTGATATCACTCCCTGCATACTAAATCTGTTTATTAAATAAATCCGATCTCTGAAAATTAGATCAATAGATAAATAATAAAAATAATTCTTAAAATCTGAATATCAAACCAAAAGGTTACATACTTCACATCTGGATCTTGAATATCTCTAACATAATTGAATCCAAGAATATTTTGTTCCTTCAATGAAATATAGATAGATAACAATGCAGGCAAAGATTCCTTAACAACGTTCTTAATATTTTCAACAGTCAATTCTTTCATATTCTTTTCTTCTACTTCCCAATAATTAATCTAGAAATTAGTTAACTGATTAAGTTTAAAAAGTTAATTCTTTGTAAAGAAGTATATTCTAATGGAAATTCATAATTTAAAAAACTCTGTTTAGTTATAATTAGAATATAATCTAAAATCTTTTTTATTGATTTTTTTTATATAATCGTAAATTAATTTATCATAAAGGCTGGTTTATACTTTGTTTTTTTTTTTAGATCAAAGACTTTAGAAACTCATACTGATCTAGAATTTATACATATAAATATTTATGTGTGTATATATATATATATGTATATATATATATTTTTTTTTTTTTTTTCTCCGTTGGCACTACAGACCAAGAAGATCTTTGGCCACGAGATGTGGTCTCCTTACAGACGTATGCTGCTTGCGGGAGTTCGGATAGCCTGGAGGGGGTCACCCAACCTCATATTGCTACAAACCATGGTCACCATGGTGCAGCGGCAGGCCACTCGTAACTACATAGCCGATCCCTTTGGCAGTGTCCTTCCCAGCGACTCACTCGAGTTCAAGGACTGTGACAAATCGGTCTAGATCCATGGATTATGACTGCTCGAAGTCAGCAGGCGCACGAGGACCTATATTTCTTTCCCCGAAACAGACCACCTATGGAACGAACCTCAGGGGAGCTATTAACATCCTGGTAGACCACATCAAGATTCCCAATTAAGTACAGGGGGTAGGGTCATCAGTCCTACACATGGTCTGTATGAGTTGCCTCCAGTAGGCTGACAGGCCTCACATACCCGGGGGGAGGGGGGAGTGACTTGGGTGGCTTGGCTTTTCGTGGTGGCTGGTCACCCTAATCGGGCGGTCACCATCCAAGTATTAACCACGTCGACGTTGCTTAACTTTGATTATCTATTGCAAGCGCCTTAGCCCGTACGGCTACCCCCCAGCTCCCATATATATATATATATATATATATATATATATATATATATTAAAAATACAAGTAATTGTGAATTGGTATAATGACATGAACAGACTTATAGTGAAACTACCCATTGGTAGCATTCCAATTCAATCAAGAAACAACCATGTAAATGTACTTTGATAAGTCAAGAGATCAAATTGTTCTAACATGTTAGGAATTTTCGATCAAACAATAAAAGCAGTATTTCTCGTATTTAGGAAACAAACAATTCTTCAAAACATGCTCTTTGATGTACTAATTATCCATAATGTGATAATTTCTAAGAACCATGCTGTAATATAGCTCTAAAAAAAAAAGTGTTTAAAACTACCGATTAGATCTAAAACACCTTTTAGGAATCTGTTTCATTTCAAACTCCAACAATAGCATCTGCTCATGTTTTGTTGGTTATATTGAAAAATACAAACTTTATTGGATAATACTCAATTAGAGATTAGAGCACATCATACATCTGAAACTTATTTTCTATCAAATTTTTCAGATCAATTGTATCTGTTTTAGACTAAGAAACAGAGAATCAAGATGGAATCATTAGAAAGACGTCATTATATTGGACAAGTTAACGATAATTTGCATAATCATGAAGGAATAGAGAAAAATTACTGATTACTAATTTAAAGTGTTTTTCAGATAAATGAATTACCTTAAGCCATCCAATAATAAGATCGGCAGTTATCCGCAGAGCATCAATGGAAGGCATAACACTGCCATGAGCCATCTGATGCCTGATATTAACTACCCAATCAGGAATATTGAATATCTTGGCTTTGGCATACATCGACATTTTCCTGTTCTTCTTCCCAGCTTCATCAGTTAACATGTTCAGGAACCTATTTTTAGAATTATTATTGATAAATTAATGTAACATATCTATGTTAATGTAACATATAAGTTAAAACATATCTTTGCTCGAGCTGTGACTTTGCTAAACATACGTCATAAGTCGAAAAATTCAAAACTACGAACTTAATACTATTTAAAATATTAAAAATATATAAATAAACAAACATATATATATTGTAATACACACATATATTGTAAATATTTTTATTTTACTTTAAAATTAAAATTTTATGATATTTATATGGTTAAATTATACATGTTTTAGTGATTGCAAATAAAATACATTTGAAATAATTTATTCAAACAAAAACATTAATTTATATTAAAGAAAAAGGGACCTTTAACGCATTTTCAAAAGGTATATGATTCAGTGAATAGGAAGGTTCTATCGAAAATTCTTGAAGAATACAGGCTGGTACGGAAAACATGGAGTTTAATTAACCAACACCTGCTTAAAATTTAGGTTGAGAGAAAAAATAAGCAAACCATTTCAAATAAAAACAGGATAAAACAAGGTGACAGGTGTTCACCGATTCTATTCAATGTTGTATTGGACAAAGTTATGAAAATATTTTGGGGAAAAAACTAAACTGGGGTGAAATGAAGTGGTAAAAATGAGGTAGATGTCAGATATTGGCGTTCCCATATGACTTGGTTCTTATGGCAAAAAGTGAAGGAGAAGCAATAAGACAAACTGAGGAATTACAGTAAACAGCCATTAAAGCAGAGTTATTAATATCATTCAGAAATACTGAAATAAAGTCAAATGATGAAATAATAGAGAAAACTGTAAAAACAAACTATGTAGAAATAAAGACAGTAAAACAATTTAAGTATTTAGGAGAATAGGTAAATTACAACGGAGAGGATAGGCAATTAATCAGGATTAAGGATGGGGGGAACATAGATAGATTAAGATATGTGACAAAATAAATTTACAACAAACAGAATGTATTTTGGAAGGAAACACTTTGACACTATGAAACTGTTGTGAACCCATGATACTTTATGGTATAGAAACTGTAAGGTTCACAACTATGAGAGGTTGTTGAAAATGGAAAGATAAAACCTGTGGAATATGAATATATTTATATATATCTCCAGCCTAATTAATAACTGCGTCAGTGATAATACATCACCATGTGATATAAAAATGCAATTAAAAATAAGAGGTTAAATTAGGTTGTATTGCGTTATATTAATTGAATTATTGTACGTACCACTTGTAACATCACTCATATATCAAAATAATGTTAATATTACAAAAGAGAACATTGTTTTTGTAAGGCCGAGCTATAAAACATGTAAGTGTAATTCAGAATTCTTGTTCAGTCATATTGATATTGTTAAAATAAATATGCCTATCAAGTGAATTTGTGTTACCTATTTAAGTTATAATAATAATGAGATTTTATGGAAATATAGATAAGATGGACAAAAATAGATGAAATAGGAAAATGATAGATTAAGTGCTATTAGGACTCAAGAATACAAATGTTCATCTGGAACAGATTAAAAACGAAACAGCAAAACTGAATATAAAAAATGAGGTTTGTATAGATAGAGTCTAATAAAGGAAACTTGTTAACCAAATGGGAATCCTTGCAATGGAAAGAAAAATGGGGTGAAAAAGTGGTTCAGAGACGAGAAAGGCACAGCATTCTGAGAGGATGAGAGAAGTGTGGAGGAGGAGAAAAGAAACAACTAAAAAGACAAAGACCAAGATATTTTGGTGGTCCAGAGTTGGCCTATATCATGAATGAATGAAAAAGAGAGCAAACTGATTTAATATTAGTGTAATGTCTAATAATTTTGGTTTTATATGCCATATACATTTTTTTTTTTATTTACTATAAAGTGAAACATGTCCAAACCAGAGCACAATCTAGTAACCCAAAGGAGAATAGTAATTCTGAAATAAGGCTTAAATGAGAAGCTGATTAAGAAACTAGAATTAATAAAAAAAAAAATAAAGAAGAACTGTATCTTGATCCATCATCTTGATGGTAGTCCAAGGAAGTGAATTGACAGAGATCATACTGAACCACCATGTTTTCCCCCTTAATCAATTAATTAATCATGAGTACCCACTGGATAGAGGCTGCGAATGCTCTAGGTTTTTCCAACCTCAGGGTTGATCCAAGGCCAAAGAAATTGAATAAATAATTACCTGCGATCAACCAAATTCAAACAAGAGATTTTGAGCTTTGGAAGTCAATGCCTTACGCACAGAGCAACCGCACTCCCTATTACATACAGTATTATATTAAATTTAAAGATTGTATTCTATTAAATATAGTTCATATCATTTATTCACTAATCCATAACTTTCCTCAGATTTTGGATCAAACTGAATAAGCCACAGGTGAAAGCAGAGGATGGAAACTGCTGTGGGACCATTTAGGTACCAACCCACACAATCCTTAAAAATTTTATCATAATCAAATTACCGGAAGTAGGTGATGTGCCCACCAAAGGGATTTAACAATGGATAGAAATGTTGCTTGGTGTCTAAAATGTAAAACGTAACTAGTAAAATTCCTATCTTATATTAGAGAAGTGAAAAGCACAGAAAACAATTTTTAAAAAATGAATATTTAATAGTTGACCGTTGCATTATAAAGGAAGGAGATGGTCCGGGGTTGCGGTCATAAATAGGCTAAATAGTGGTAAAACTATTTTATTGAAAGCCTATTCACACTATATATAACATCCTATCACACTATATAAGCCTATACACTGAAGGCTTTCAATAAAATAGTTTTAGCAATATTTAGCCTATTTATGACCGCAACCCCGGACCATCTCCTTCAATTTAAAAAATGCTTTGTTAAAACCAATTCATTTATTACCTCATTATTTCAGCTGAATACATTAACTGCAATTGATTTAAATCGGCTGGAGATTTGGTATCAGGGTAGAAGTGTGGGTCATTAATGGCTACCTGCATAATTCCTCTAGTAAGGTCCATTCCTGGCCTGTAGCGCCATTCCCTAAAGTAATTATTTAATATTTTATTAATTATAGATTGGAAGACAAATACAGAAAAAAATAATACAAAAGTATGATTTATTCATCAGATTTTGTATAAAAATGAGGAATAATAATTAGGTGTTAAGAAACCAACAAGAATTTCAAATTTACAGTTAAAACAAAACAAATGATTCAACAATTTCAAAATTAATTGTTGAGAGTGAAGTAGTGTATTAGCGGTACTAGTTCACATAATGTGAGTATAATCTTTTCTGCAATATAGTAACATAAAAATTGAAAAAACAATTCTAAAAATTAAAAAAATAATTATAATACTGTAATACATAATATCACGCCATTCAATTATGATATCCAGAGCTTTCACCACCTCATCATAATTTCTTGAATACAACCCATTGAACACAGCAACCCATTCGCTCCTGAAACGATGTGTTATGTATTATTTTCAAATAAAAATAATATAATTTTAAAGATTTAGGCTATGTAAAATAACATGCAATTATTTCTAAAAAAGGGAAAAAGCAAAGTTCAACAGCATAATCAATATTTTTAATACTAGAAATAAAGAAAAAATGTGTTTAACAACAAGAAATTAAATATATTTGAAAAAGACCAAAAACATTTCTAATAATTAATATTTAATATCTATCATGTCTATTTGAATTTTATAAACTGTAAAATAGAAATAATAATGAATAAGTTAATTAATATGCAATTGATCTATCATTCTTACTTGGATTTCCACGGAATCAAGTGAGAGCTGTCCATTTTGACACAAAGTGACTACCATAAAATTCAAAACAAGTAAGAACACGCGGAGGTTTATAATATCCTTACAAATAGGTCGGAATTGACCACATTCTCAAGTTCTGTAACACAAAGAGATAGAGCACGATGCTATCACTAGAAAACTACTACCCAAATTGTGAATTTTTGCAAAAGCCAACACTTCCATATTTATAATTCTGAAAAATAGTTTAGATCCTCCTTAAAAATCTGATAAACAATTTTTTTTCTTATTAAAATACAACTCTACTAAGATATTTTATTTCTGAAGATTAAATAATTGCTATGACATACTAAAAAATATATACAAGTTGCAATTTTCATCTGTTGCAAAATCCTGTTCATCCTGGATTTGAAATGATTTGCAATTATACGTAAATTTTACCATTGAAACTGGATATGAACTTCTGTATAAAAAGTTTACAATCCAGAAATGGAGAGTATACGATAAAATTCAAGCAGTGTCGGACTTAGCACCATTGAAACTTAAACATATAAATGGAATTTATTGTATTTCTTGAGTGATTACGTTTTGAAGTATTTCATTGGTCTTCATTAGGAATGTCTTAACATATTTAACGAACATGTCTTAACACACTTAACATACCTTTCGTCTTTATGAGGAGACACTGCCGTATGAAGCAACGTGACTGTACAACAACTTCTATTATATATGAAAGGCTCATTAAGATTGCGGATTCCGCAAAGGAAAATCTTTATTTCGAAGCTAGCTTTCCGTGGTAACTGAGGCGTTTGAGACTGATACAAACAAAAAGGGAAGGAGAAAATACATAGTGCAAATACATAAATTTATCAATGAATTGAGAGTTAATAAGAGTCCTAAAAACAGGAGAAAACGATAGGAGGAACCTATTACCATTACAGTAATTGTGAAATCCATGCTAACCAAGCCGACTCAAACTCAGAAATCAATTTATATTACTATAAGCGAAACGTGCAAGAGACCGGTGGACATAATTAACATTCTGGATATCAGCCACCGTAATCGGCGTAAAGGCTTCTATCAACCTTACGACCAAGGCTGGCTCTGTCTGCCATAACGATCACCATAGCGATTGGCCCTGTCTGTCAACGATTGCCTAGCCAGAGGGTATTTTCCAATAACCTAGAAAATTAGCCACATCCGGTGCCTTAACAAGGGAAAGCAATCAGCTTGTAAATTGCATAGGCCTAAACGAATCCTCCCACCATCAGCACAGGTTTGGAGAACCAACTGATGATGAGCCTATGGCAGGCATTAGAAGAGCGAACCATCTACGGCAGTACGGATCTATTAAAGACAAGAGAATCTAAATGGTACGACAACCTCGTATGAGAACAATACGAAGGTAACAAACTGAGGATGGCTGTTGCAAAGAGTTAGGTTATCCTCTTGATTAATAGGGTTTATCATATAAATATGGTTATACCAAAAAATCAAGAATATGGCCGAGTGGGATTGTTGCCTATCTCGGAATCAATATTGGGAGAAAATTTAACCTATCACCTCGTTTGGCCTATTTAATTTAAGAAGTATAATTACCCTTAAATAGCCTATAGCGGCCTCAGTTGTATCCGAGGCGCTTCTTGGGACCTCAGGTATTCAGCAACTATGACCATTTAAAAAGGAGATACTGTGGCTTTCCTGGGGTAGGGGTTCACTGCAATCTATTTTATTTATTTATTTACATCCTTGCCGTGCCTGATAGGCAATACGGGTTTTAGCAGTAGTGAGATGTTAAGCGTTTCCGCGTACCAACACACTGCTGCTAGAAAAACAATATTTATAAACTGGGTCCATATTTCGATTACATTTCTTCTAGGTTTGGTCACGGTCTTCTTCTGCTACTCCGTCCGGCGGCCTTCCAGGCGGCGCAGCTCCTCTTCTTCCCAGAGAAATGAGTTGGGCCTATAATGGATTTCCATTTTGAAATAAAATCTTTAAAATGAGGATAGTTTTCCTCACTTATGAATTGAGAGAGATCTCTCTCAGTCAAAACGTAGAGACCGGTTTCCCTCAGCAGTCTTGCTCTCTGTGCCTCATAAGCAGTACATGCTACGACAATGTGCTCGGCAGTCTCTGGGACTCCGCAGGTGCCGCACAACGGGTCGATATTCTTTCCAAATTGAAAAAGCTTTGCTCGGAAGCCCCGTGTCCAGTGAGTAGTTGGGAGACCCAATAACCAGGTTCCACCCATTTTGCTGCTAACCGGGAACCGATAGTGGGAAAATATTTTCTCAGAGTACTTCCTTTCGGAGTTGTTACCCATCGCTGGTTCCATTCGTCAAGGGTGTACTCTTGTATTATCTTTTTGCATATACCTGGTTCTTGGTTAATGTTCTCACGAAGATTATCTGGTAGACCCGCCGAGCCTTCTCTTGAAATCTGATGTTTTAAAATGTCTTCCTGCAATAGGAGGTCGAGAGGAACACCTCCTGCCAGGACCTGTACTGTCTCATGAGACACTGTCCTGAAAGCTGTGGTGACTAGCAGCAGAGCCGTCCGCTGAATTGAAGCCAACCTGCTCTTCTGGTGATGCGAGAGATGCAGAAACCAACCTGGGGACGCGTACCTCAGAATGACCAGAACTACACCTTTATAAATGGTCTGAGTCACTGGATATCTGAAGCCCTAAAATGTACTCCCGATACGACTGAATCCAATAAGCGCTAGGCCTACTTCTCAAATAGTCCAAGTGAGGTGATACGTTGAAATTTCTTTCTATTCTGACTCCGAGGTAGGTGACAACCTCACTCGAACGTATTCTTGATCCTTGGATAATCATTGTAATAGAGTGATCCCTATTAGTCTTGCCTTTCAAGAGAATGGCCTGAGTTTTATCAGTTGCCATCCGCAGTTTATTCCTCTCGCACCATCATTCTATCAGGTTGGCGCACCGCTCAGCTTCTTCTTTCAACCTGGCTCTGCTGTTCGAGGCCACCACAGCGGCAAAATCATCCACAAAAGCTGTAGCGGAGAACTGCTCTTCTTCGAGCACTCCCAGCGAATCGTCGAAGACTAGTTTCCACAGAGCGGGGCCAAGGACTGAGCCCTGTGGACAGCCTCTCTCCATGCTATCTTCTACTTCGTAGAAGTTACCTCTAATTCGGAGTGTTCACTGCAATCTCTCGCTCGAGCATAATTGTAGATTGGCAACGATTCAGAGGATAGCTATGCTTCGAGCCACGAAATTATACAGATGATCCATTTCCCTCAAACCATTTCTAGTGCTCACCTAGATTATAATTCACTCTTACATAAATCTTTTTATTTTTTACGCACTCTCTATGACATCACATTCGACAAACTTCATAGAATTGTAAAATAAAGACGATTCGAATATTTACAATCAATGTTTATAACATAATGTACCAACTTTTATGCTGTATTTTCTATCAATTAATTATCTTATGAAAGAGAAACTTCCATTTACAATCCTTAATTTTCTTCAACCAGATTGCTTCAAGTAACATATTATCGGTTGAAAAAGATGATGTTTTAAAGTGCCAACTCGAAAAAAAATTGTCCTGGGATCGTTGTCATAAAATATGTACAACATGTATACACATACTACTTTCAAACCACTCTATGAACAATCTCTGCGAAGAAAGAATATGGCATTGAATTATTATGCTAATTAAATTGGTATTCATCTTTTATTTACTATTCTTGTTCCAGTTATAAAAACAGTTGTTCAAGCCGATTGCTTAGAAGTAGTTAAGTTGTAGTTTAGATTATGTTTATTTTATAATTATATTTGTGCTTTGGCGACTAAGAAGTTTATATAAGAATGTTGGTTTCAATTGACAATTGAGTATTTTTATCAGAGACACTCTCGTTATCTGTCAAGAAGAGGTGTTTAAAGTAATTAAAGAATTTGCTGGTTTATTTTTTTGAGATGAATGACGAAGAACTTAATTTTACCGTTTCGGCTCCTGGTAAAGTCATTTTAATTGGTGAACATAGCGTTGTCTATAAAAAAAGAGGTTTAGCATCTTCAATTAGTAAAAGAAGCTTTTTACATTTTCGTGAGCATAAAGAAGCTCATGAACAAATAACATTGAGTTTCAAGAGCTTATTAGAAAGAGTGGAGTATGATTTCAGAAGTGTCTACAATTTAACTAATCTGGACAAACCACTTACTTGTGTTATGACAGAATTTTCATTGGGTTCACCAGAATATTTGGATCATGATAAATATGTCGAATTGATTAAAGAATTCGTTCTTCAAAAAGGTATTGAAGATGAGCCCAAACTGAAGGCTATGGTGGGAATTTTTTATATTATTATGGGAATGTTGTGGTGTGCTGACATAGATATTAGTCCATTTGATTTGGAAATTTACTCTGATTTAGCTATAGGAGCAGGTACGGGTAGTAGTGCAGCATTTTCTGTCTGTGTTGCTGCAGCTGTATATAATTATATTAGGTTAAAAGCATTTCAAAAGTTTGGCTGTGGTGAATTTAATATTTCCAGCAGTCCATTCAAGCCTCATATAATGGAATTATCTCAGCATTATAATGGATTTTCTCCAAAGGTAATGTAATTTTGTTACATTTTAAATGTTTCGTTATTTTCAATGTTAGTTGTGGTTTATCTTATTTTTCCATTGTTATATCTTTTTGTATCTGTTTCAAGTAAATAACTTCTAATTTTGTCCTTGTCAAGTAGTTTTATTAATTATTTATCATTTTTCTCCAACATTAGCTGCAGTGATTTTTCATACTTGTGTGTTATACTCAAGCTAATCATATAAATGAAACATATATTATTTATATTCATACAAATCTAATAAATCCTTATGTAGGGTTATCAGTTAAGGAAAAATATATATACCAGGTGTGTAAATATGAAACTAATTTTTTGTTTATTTTTTAAATCTGTACCACTATTAGCCATGCAGTGTCTTGGATTCAGTACTATGTGAGGAAGTACTGTTACAAGGCCAGCGGTTGAGCAGGGAGGTCATAGAGCTGAGATCACGCTCAAACGCAAGATTTTCTCCCTTAATTAATTATGAGTACCCACTTTACAGAAGCTGTGTGTGCCCCAGGAGGGTCTCCTTACCCCAGGGTCGATCTACAGCTTATGAAAAATTATTAGTCGTCAGCCGGACTCGAACTTGGGACCTTGAGCTCTGGAAATCAGTGCTCACCCACTGAGCTATCCCGTTCCCAGCCTTACTGTCATTTTAAAATAACATTTTATTCGAAATATTGTCCATCATTTGCTGTAGATTTTTTCCGTCTCTTTGGCAATTTATGAATCCCATGCCTGAAAAATTGTTGCTCTTTTGTAGCTAACCGGTCATCAAGCCACTTATGTATATTTTCATCAGAAGTGAAATCTGCCGAGGAAGTGTGTGCTTGATCGATTTAAGTAAGTAGTAGTCGTATGGAGTCAATCTGGTGAGTAAGCCGCATGCACTAATATGTCCCAACTGAACACCCCAATCGTTAGTTTCACTGGTTTGGCTGTGTGTGATAATGCATTATCATGAACCAAAGTTAATTGTGTTGTCTTTTTTGATATGCTGCCCATTTTTCACACAATACTCGATTAAAATCAATCATTTGTTGTCAACAGTGTTCTGCATTAATGGTTTCACCATGTTTTAATATCTCATATTAAATCACACCCTACTATGTTATTCATTTCTCTTCTCAAAATTGCCACTTTTGAATTTTTCAAGCCAAAGTACTATAATTTATCAATAATTTGCTTAATGTAAACTTCTATTACAAGCATTTAATGCAATTCTGCCGAAGTTTTCTTTAAATGGTAACAAAAAACTAATTCTGTATGCATATCATAGTTTGCAGGCACAAAACTTGTTGTGTTCAACACTACTAAAACTATGCTTTTATATAAATCTTATATTTTTAGTTGAAAATCTTTTCCAGCTGTCATAGAAAATGCCACCTACAATGTGGTAATTACATTATCAACTGCAGCCATCTATGAACGAATTCCAGGTTCATATTTTTTCCAGGTTTACACACCTGGTATGTAGATATTTATATATTGATTGATTTGTAAAAATTAGTGCATGGAAGTAAACCTAAGTAACTTAGCAAAAACATTACTTAAAATTTATGGCTCTTTTCTACTTTAAGGACACCTGTGAATATTAGAATTGTTTTTGCATTTGGATTAAAATATCTCAGAAACTAGACATTAGACATGCACACTGTTGTAAGCAAGGGAAATGTTCAGAATTTCATCTGCTTTGTAATAAGCTATTGTTCAAAATAATACCTTAGTGTGACGTGTTAGAGAGGCAAATATAGAAAAAGGTAGGGCTAAAGAAAACAAATAACTGTTTTGAACATTTGAACCTAAATATCTCAAAATGTAAATACCATGTAGAATTTAGTAACCAATTTTTAGAAGTCAACATAGAATTTAAATTCTAAAATTCTTATTCATAAAAATAAAAAATTGTTTCTATTCGATTTTCCCTTGCACTCAATAGAGCTTCGACAAACTACTAACCCCTTACAGATTAAAATTTGGACTTGCATGATGTAAGCAAGAGAACCTTGCGAAGCCTTTAACTATTTCATCCTCTTTGTAATGTGCTATAATTCAAAATTTTATTTTGACGTGACACCGGGTTAGAGAGTTGGAAAGGGAAAAAGATAGCGTCAAAAACAAATGATAATAACGAGTTTTGTTAAACATATGGATTAAAATAAGAAACTAAAAATTGGATCTGCTTACTGTAAGGAAGGGAAATTTTCAGTAATGACTAATTATTCAAAATTGTATCTTAACAGGATGCCGATTTATAAAAGAAAAAAGATAGTGTTAATGGTGTGCTTAAAGCAGAAAAGAGCGAAATTTACTAGTATAGAAAATAGATGAAAAAGTAAATAAGTATATGAATAAAACAAAACAGAATACACTTTTTAAATCTCAGTTTAGTTTTGTTTTATTTATTTGTTGAAACTAGTTATTAAGGCATACCTTTTTTTTTTTTTTTTTTTTAATTTTGTTACTTTTTTTTGTAGGATAAAGACATAGTGAATAAATGGGCATTTTGTGTGGAAAAAATTAATCATTCCACTCCTTCGGGTATTGATAACACTATTTGTACCTTTGGAAATGCCGTTTTAATGAATGCTGCTGGTGAAAAAGATGAAAAACGTTCCATAGAACTATTAGATAATCTTCCAGCATTCCGGGTGCTGATAGTTAATTCAGGTTCTTAAATTTTATTAAATTTAAATGATTAGGAATTGGTTAAAGAGTTTATATTAAAATGAGTTGTGTTTGCTTCTTGATTATTTTACATAACTTTCCTTAACTATGCATACAAGCTATTTCTACTATTGACCTAATTTGTTATTTAAAATATGCTTGATAAAAATGAATATTATATCTCATTTTTCAGTATAAGAATAGTTTATAGTGATAATATTTTTCTTAAGATTTACATATCATTATTATTATTATTAGTTGTAGTAATAGTTAAAACCCATTATTTAAGGTCCTTGAGATTAACTACCTTTTCAAACATAATATTTTTTCTCAGAAAATGTAAATTAATGATTTTATTGGCGATTGTCACAAATTTAAATAAAAAATGGGCATAGATAAAATAACTTTTGAACTTCCGCACTTAAATTTCTTTTACTGAATTTTTTCTTTTAATTATTGTGTTCAGTTTTATCAAGTTGAAGTTTTTCTTCCCGAATGTAAGTTTATTTTATTGTCCCAACATTTAAAAAAAATATATATATTTTATTTTTTTAAACCAGCACTTGATCAGTTTGATTATAAAATAAAAGGTTGGTAAGCAGTTAACCACTTTTAATTTTATGGTGTAAATTTTTCACTTATTGAAATTATGTAATACTTTGATTTTTAAAAATCACCAGTGATTCATTTTATTTGCATGGATGTTGTAAAATTTAATTTTTAAGTTTAATAAGTCATGATTCTTGGTTTGATCTACCTTATTTTCCAAGTTTTAATGTATGTTGCTGATGATTTGTGTTGCGTTTCTCATCTCATTGACAATAACTACAATATATACTCAGTAGGCGAATGTACTGCCTTCAGGTCTTGAGTTTGAATCCTACGACTTTATAGATATATGTATGTTATTTCTCCCTCCTTCCCCCTTCTCTGCCTCAAGACTGTCTTATTTGAAATTATTTATTCCTTTCCAAGAAATGCTCAATTAAATTTTTGTATATAACTTTTTTACATAGTTTAGTTTTAAAGTATTTATTTCATAAATTTTCTTGTTAGTAGTCTTTTTTTTTTATTGCATATATATTTTTCTTTTATTATGGGGGTAAATAAGAACTCTTTCCTTGGTGAAGACTCAAAAGAAGAGACTCCCTTTTCTGAAATTAGTGAGACTGATTTTCAATAATTTAATTCAATAATAATAAAAAAGAGTATGCCCTTCAAAAACACCACTGAAACTCTGTTTCCAGTTCGGCGAGCTAATCGCCAATAAAAAAAAAAAAATAACTTCCAAAAACAGCAGTCACAAAACAAGAACCGGGTTCACGACCCCCTTCAACCAGTAAATTGTTACTGGTTGTAACAATGTATTGATGACAGTTACTGCCAATAATAGATCTAATGAGATCCCAGAGCCTCATAGTTATATTGATCCTGAGCAACCACCTATCTTTGTCAGTAGTATAGTAAATTTCATGATTGTCTGTCGAAAAATTGGTGATTTGATCAGAATGGCAAACTGTCTACTCTCGTGCAACTTCAGCTGGTACAACTTCTACCAATTGTAAGAAGAAAAGGCATACAAAGTAGTTGGAGAGGTCTTTATTCAACCACCCCAATAACCACTATCAAAAGAGATCTGGAAGAAATAGACCATAATGTAAAACAGAAAATAGAAGACTTACTTCCCAATCTAGTGTACATACTAACTTCAGTTCGTGTTACTGAATTATTTCAAACTTTGTTCTGTCTAAAAGTCCACCTGATCATCGATTATTTCAGGTGTACCAAGATCAACTGCTGATATGGTAAAGAAAGTTTCAACCTTGCTTGAAATTTGTCCTGAAGCAACTCAATCCATTCTTGAATCAATGGATGTAATCGCTATGAAATTTCTTGAATATGCTCAAGAAATAAAAAAAGCAACTGAAAAATTGGATGTTTTGCAGCATTACCGACGGTTAGAAGTAAGTATAACTATCACCATCAATTATTTATTATGGGTGATAAATATTCAGGACACAGTCATTATAAAATTTTTTTATTTGTGCCGATGTTTCAACTCAAAACATGTGGTTCATCATCAGGCATAAAACTTTTAAAATACAATCAGAGATATAATATTACACGACCGATAATGGTAAATAATAAACTATAGTGATTGATACATACAATTTTACTTTTTACATATTTCATTTTTAATATTGTGTATTGTAATAATAGTTAAGATTCGTGTACCATCAATGTACTCATTTATATTTCTATTTGCGTCTTTATATTTATCACCCATGATATGTGAAACAGTCAACTAGCTTCCTTCAATAAATTATTTATTGTTTTTTTTGCCATACACCATTTAAACTTGAATGTCATTATGAACATTAATACTTGATACATGGTGAAGACAGTTGTGGCACTATCACTTGTAAATAGGCTTATTGATCATTTTTGCCAAGACAAAGTAGTCCATCCCAATAATTTTATTCTTTTATCAGAACATTTTACTTTTTGTTTACTCTCTACCAAAGGTAGGGAAGCATTGTATTCGTGCGAGAGGTTAAAAAACATTTTGTGCTCCGAATCGAAAATTTCCACTCGTGTTTTATGTTTCAGACATCAAGGATCAAATTTGGTTCGGTGTCAGTCTGTAGTCAAATCAATGTTATGGGCATATCAACTATTAGCGTTCATCCGATTTTCAGGGATTGTGCAGGTTGGTGCCTAGATGGTCCCATATCAATTTTATTAAATTCCGTCCAGGCACAGTAGATGTGTTTTCATATATATGCCAATATTTCAGAAACAGCTTGTTTGATTTGGCTCAAAGTTGAAAGAAAGGTGGTTTTTGGTAAAATAATGATTCTGTATAGATTTTATTGTATTCCGTCATCTACTTTCTCGTATATATGCGCAAATGCGTTTTCCATGATACCTCTATATCTCAGAAACTGATAGTTCAATTTGGCTCAAATTTGGAGGGAAGTTAGGGATTTGTTAATAGATAATTGGGCATGTATTAATTTCTTTAAATTCTATACACTACTCTCTAAAAACTAACATGCTGTTAAATTATATAATCGAGCAGGTGTTTCGCTGTGGTAATTGACTATGAGGCCAAAAACTCATGCTTAAATCTTACTTGGAAGAACCAATTCTTGGGGAACAATTCTCCCATAATTAAAAAAACTATCTTTATTGTCTTGATGGTTACTTTTCTTGAATTTTTGTCCTTGCCTTTGCTCCCAACCTTATTTCCGCTCCATGCTTTGGAATTTGAATTCCACATCGAATTCATAGAAACAAGACCTGCTATGACTTTGTCGACTCTCTTCAGTTTCCTAATAGTCTTCACAACATGCTTTTTGTTTTGAAAACAAAATCTTTGAAATTCAAGATTAAGATTAGTGAGGATGGCCAATCTGGTGTGTGATTATTCTAGAAATTTTCTGTACATACTATTTTAAATGATAATAAATACTTTGGATTTTATTTATTGTGATATAAAGATATTATTTTTAATTGCCATTATTACATCATAATCTATGTTCATTTATGTTTGACAGGCTATAGAGGAAAGAGGTATGTTTCCAGTGATTGTAGGTGTAATTGGGATTGAGCCTTTCCATTGTTTGTCTTATTGCTGTTATTATTAACAAGACATATTTTTAGCCATCATAATATATTTAAAACATAATCGTTTTTCCATTATTACATATATAATTTAGATTTTTCACAAATTCAGGTTCTTATTGATCTTCAACACGGACATTTGAGAACACTGGGTGTATCTCATCCTCGCCTAGAAGAAATATGCTTTATTACAAATCGAAGAGGACTACATTCCAAACTGACTGGTGCCGGTGGGGGTGGTAATTCATTCACTCTCATTCCTCCTGATGCTGCAGAAGACACTATAAAGCAAACTATTCAAGACCTTAAAACTAGTGGATTTTTGGTTGATGATATTGTTCTTAATGGAGAAGGTCTCATCCTGGAATCAAGCTGAATTATTTATATCTAATTTAATTGCACTACTGTGATATTTTACACATGAATTGTACAAATATATATTTATATTTATTCTAAACATTTTTTTAATCCAGCCAACCCTGAATATGTGAAATTGTCCCTTTCTCTGGAACTTGTTTCTTTGGTCTTCTTTTCTTTTCTTTCATTGGCCATATATATATGATTAAAGCTTTTGACAACCAAAACACAACTTCCAGTAAACTTAGTAAACTTGCTCCCAAGAAAAGACCACCAATGCCACCTAAGTTAACTAAAAAAAAATAGAATAAATAAATTTATTAGTATTAAACGAACATTTCTGTTCATTATATACCTATACATTTGAAAATATTAGGCATAATGCAGGCTAGGCCATGTTTCAAATATCTACTGTTTATTCCAGGCCTGGTCAATCCATATGGCTTCACCAACCACTTTGATGTAACTCATCACTTTATCATAATGTAACTCCGGGCCGCGCTTTAGGTAAATGTGGTTTTAAAGATGTAACACAAATAAAAATATGAATAAAACATTATTGTTTAATGTTTTTATACTGTAATTAATATAATTAACTTTTGAGCCTCAATGAGATTTTGGTTTATCCTTTTATTCCACTAAATTTTTCTGATTCTTTTCATAACATTTGACTTTCGCGAATATGTATAAAAGACTGGAGTTCATTGTCACATTTGCATATTATAAATGTGACATATGAAAATGTTCATTTATTTAATGCCTGTTGTATACATGCGAGAAAAAAAAAAATTAAGTTTCAATAGAAATATGAAAATGCTTTTTGTGACTTGGCAAGTCGTGTGTTAGCGAAGTATAATTTATTTAAATTTTATGAAATTGATATACAAACAAAGATCCTCTTATGGTTTTCATCTTTCATTTGTTATCTCAGTTATGGCAGTCCACAGTGATTTTCACAGACAAAGCATTCTTGAGAATTGCTGAACCTCTGAGAAAAAAAGAAGTGTCCAGATGGAGAATTTCATTTTGATGAAATCTAACATGAAGTGAATTCAACACATTTAAAAGATTAACTGGTTTAAAAAAAACATTTTTAAGTTGAGAATTTTGAGCAAATAGACCATCTTTCCCCACTTTTTAATATAGCTTCCTGGGACCATAGGCAACTATATGCAAATTACTTTTAGGTGCTATAAAGTTAAAATTATCCATTTGTTTAAGAAAAGGTATAAAAGCTAGTGGCTTGATATACACGTACTGGAGGACGGTACTGAAGCTGTTGGTGGTCCTCTGGCTTGGAGTATCGAAGCTCTGAAGAGGATCTCATTCTATGTATAAGAAAAGAAGGGATCGAAACGTTAACAAAAAAAAGAATAAACTCCAAATTTATGTAGTTTATTAAAATCGTAAATTAAATGACCTAACTCCCGAAAATAATAATTATTTCACAATATAATATTTAAGTGTCGATGAAAAAAATAAGTTTGTAATATATAATATGTATATATATCCGAAAATCATAGTAGAATCCAAAAAGCTAAAGCAGCTATGATATAGTGTACAATCCTAGAAAGAATAAGTAGGTATCAACAATAAACTCATTAAATTTAATGCAAACTTCAAAATTTTACATCAATTTTAATATTCTGTGAACATTTATTTCTAAAGAAAACAAGAATAAAATTACAGGCAAAAAAAATATTCTGTTAAGTATGTACCTTACCTACAAGTTGTATAAAATTATAGCTCATTTCTCTTTGATATTTAACTACTCCTGTATCCTTGTAGTAAATATCGACAAATCCATCATATTTATGTTTTTTCAATCCCGTATTAGTGTAAAAATCTATGACAACTACTTCATAATGCCTTTCATTGCAAGTGGGAAGACAGTGTGTACAGTCTAATGAACTATTCCTAATATCCTCAGTGACTTCAGAAGATGCACTTGGTGGACGATAAAACCTCAACTCTTCTACAAAAATGTTTTATGTTAAATTATATGGTACTAGTGCTAATATAACTATTCAATAAGATTAATTAAAAATGGAATTAAAACCTAGTAATGATTTGTAGATTTTAAATACTGAATAAATAGATTTGGCAAACATTTTCATACTCTCTATATTATAACCAAATCTAACATTTTCATCAACTTTATGAATAGCATAAATCCGAACTTGGTGTTGTTAAATATATTGTTAATAAAAATATTTATAAGCATTGGATAAGAGGGGAAGAACTTGATGTTATTAAAATAAATAATAAAATAATTAAGGCAAACTAAATACAGAGTTGTGTAAAGTTTCATAATCTGTATAACACTATCATCAAATGTGCTATAATTAAAATCAAATCACCTTCATTTATGATTATAAATAAATAAAAAAAATGCATAGGAATAGAAGAATCCATGGAAGGAAGGGATTGGAGAGTCTTGAAAAAATGCATTTCTAGAAAATAAATTTTTGAAGTTTGACGCCCACCCTTTCCTTAGTGCATGGATATTTTTCAAACTCTTCTTCAAGCTGACCATCCATATTTTTGGGTAGTTCTTTTTTATTTTTATCATTTTATTCTGCTCAAACATATGAACGTATTTATGTGTACAACTTGATGTAAGAAAATATTTCTCTCCCCCTTTCTCCAATGGACTCTTCAAATATTTTGTTCACAGTGTACCATAATTACCTTTGTGTGCTGCTATACAAAGTAGTTCTGTTGCATTACATGTCTTTTCAAAATCTGAAAATTAAAGATTAAACTTTTTAATAATTACACTATTCATTTCAGATAATTTAGTTCATTATGCAGTTAACTGGATACTGACGTTCCATTACTATATAATAAGGAAGGCAACCACATTTCTTAATGAGAAATGACATCCTACATTCAAAGAGACACGACTTTTGAGAGTAAATTGTTGTTATGAGCGACTTCTTTGAGTCCTTAAAATAACAACCAGATACGGCTGGGTGCATTTTTCTTATGTCATCCGAACTTTCTGTAACCGTTGCTTTGATCAAAACGTTCATTTTTTCCATTTCTATTGGAATTAATGTTCCCATTCCTGGTTCTGGATATTCATTGGGATGATGCATTTGAATCTATTAATGAAATAATTCAGTTACATACAATTAGCAGTTATATAAGGATAGCTAATACTTATTTTTTAAACAAAAACTATAGAACTAATATAAATAAGAAATCTGTTTTTTTAAAGCTAATAAATAATCATTATAAAATAAAATAATGAAGAGAAGAATAGTTGGGGTGCTCAGTCAAAAAGGAAGGCAAAAAAGAAATTATAATATTTATTTTTTACATGTAAAAATGTAGTAATTACAGGAAAATAATGCTTTTAGCAATTTTTTTTTCTTGACAAATCCTTTCATTTAGTAGGTTTATGTGATTTATAATTTTAAAAGGAGTATATATTGTGGTTGCTTAAATATTTATTTCAGACCTCTCATGGAAACAAAAACATGGTCAAATAAAAAAAGAAATTTCTATTTTGGGGAAGGGCTTCAGCCCCCAAAACATCTCAAGGTTGGTAAAGATAACAAGAAAGCAAATTGATTATGATAATAGTAATATGGAATGAAGGAAGCTAGATAATATTTTACCTTATAATATTAATGTTATGTCAGATTTTACTTTGATTGGCAATATATCAAATTAATCAGCTCAAAAAATTAAAAAATTAGATGCACATGAACACATGGACAGGAAGATTTGAAACTTTGCACAGATTAGCTGCAAAGTTTTTTTAAAAGACCTAAGCATCGATGTCTGTTCAGAATTTTAAAGAGCTATTTTTACCACGTTTACCTAAATATTAAAACTGAAAAACATTACCATAGCTTTAGAATTACTGTTAACAAGCAGTTGATCTGAGGAGTTGGATGATTTAAATAATACCCCAACTCCACTTCCAGGACCGGTGCCACTTGTAGTCATGAGTATGCAATGCTCCCTCAGCTCTACCTCTTTATCTTTGTAAATGCTAAAAATTATGGATTTTATTCACGTTCTAGGCTTATATTATAAATATGAATTAATTGATCATAAACAAAAATGACAGATAAACTTTCAACGGGTTAATTAAGAGGGATTCAAAAAGAAATAATCACCCAATTATTCATTTCTTTAATAATAAACACACCCGTGTTTGCTTGTGATATATGTTCTTTGAAAAACATAAATAACAGTTTATCTGTCTCTGCCTCAATTAAAAACAAATAAATATTGATACTAATTGAAATAGACAAGAAGTAAAATAAAATAATAAATATCATAAATTAATATCTAACTTAATGTTCATGTACTTATAATTACATAAAAGTACTTTCTAAAGTTTTTGACTGATAGATCACTGCAAGTTAAGAGATTTTTCAGTTAAACTCTGTTCAGTGATAAAGAACCATATATCTGTTCTGCGAGGAGTTTCAGGGTTGTTTTTTCATGTCTACTCATAGTTCTGATGATTCCTGTGATGATTTCAGTTGGGTACCTGCTTCTTCTTTAAAGATGAGAAAATACCTCTTATATCACAGTTAGCCTTTGATACTGTTCAAATTTATCCACTATGTTCTGCGCAAAAATTTATGAAGAGATACGGCTTTTGCATTCTGCATTCCCTTCCTTTTTCTATTATCAATTTGATTATTTGAATCTGACCAGTTGATTTGTCTCCCACAAAACCAAGCATTCTCTTATTTCCCACCGCAGCATCAGTTTCTGGAAGTGCATACGTAAGAAAATGATAAATGCACATGATAAAATAGATATACTTTAGTAATCTACTCATTCAAGGAGTTTTTTTTTTTTTTTTATGAATAGTGGAGACAAGAAAGTACAGCTATTCTTCTGGTATTTCCTCTAGATTCCGCAAGTTCATTACCATTTCAACACCTAGTCCCCACCATATTTGAAGATCTCTACAGGCAGTCCAACAACTTCAGGTGCTGTACTGAGATTCTGGAAACAAATGTTCTTGTAAAACTCTTTAGTTTCTGGACGAGGAGTAGTTTGTGGTTATCCAAACAAATGGGAGGTGGCTCATGTCTGAGGTGTTTTCTAGGGACTTTACTGTATATGGCCTACATCGTGGTAAATTTTAGTATATAAAGTGTAATTTATTATTTACCTGGCATTGATACTGGGAGAGTGAGATAAGCATTAGTTTGATATTATGATCCACCATATTATTAAAATTGCAACTTCAATATATTCCATGGTTCAAGCTAAGGCTAGTTTAATATTAGTTTTAGTATCCCACCTTTCCTTTCAAAATTTTAATGCACCTTCCATACAACACTCATGAAGATTATAATCATTTCTGTGCTGAGTTTACCTTCTTGTTTTATGCATTTGTGAATTATAACCTTTTAACTCTTCATTAAAAGTCCTATTCAACTTGATAGCATCAAGCAGGTGGTGTGGGAGTAATTTTTACAATTTTTTGTCTTGAAAATATGCCATATAAAATCTATCAATCCTGGTTCTTCAAGCAACTTAATCCTGTCGATTCTACGAAACTCATGGGATCCCTTCCTATTAGGAAGGGGCTATCAGATTGACCAAAGAATTCTGGAGAAATATTATTTTGTTGTATAAAGTTGTATATGTCTACGAGAGAAATTGTAATGAATCATTATACCTCTATCTAATGAATAATAATTATTCCTGGATAATATAAAATATTTTAAACAACTGTATTTTTTCCTAAATGGTTATTTTGGAAATTAAAATGTTTCTATTTTCCCTTTCATGGATCTTCTATTGCATTTTACACTTTTTATTCAATTTTTCACTTGCATTCAGGTTATTCAAGTGCATATCCTTAACTCCTAAGCAATCCTTTGAAATATTTTAACCTATAAAGTAGGATTTTTATTCTACACTAGCTAAGATATTTTAAACCCATCTACTTACCCCTATTTTTTCTGTCAATATATAGCATATATAATATACCAAATTTATATTCATACTAAAAAAATATATATAATTTACCAATCTTTGTATTTTTCTGATGTAAATGAGTTAAATGAATAACAAAATCCAATTTCCGATCTTTGAAGATGAAATAAAGAACAACAATTTCTAACAAATCCTCGCCAATAACATTTAAAAAATATTTCTTCACAACCTGGAAGGGACTGAAAACAAAACCAAATATTTATTCTTTCTAATCTTAATCTATTTTAATTTACTTTATTAACATTATATATATATGAACAATAATCTAATCTAATTCATCGTAGGATATTAAAGTTTTACGTCTTGAAGTGTCATGTTCTTTTGTTGAAGAGAAAACAATTACAAAAATCTATTTGATTTAGATTATTACCAATTGCTGAATAATTAAGGATACAAAATGGGATAAATTAGGGTTTGAAGATTTTGGCGTGGACATCAAGTTTCTTTTATCAACTGAGTTCAGTACTTAAACGTATTTTTAAGTCCGAAAATTCACATTTTTATCATATCATTAGTCATATCAAAATAATGATATGATAAAATATTTGCAGCCTCTCAAGTTTAATGATAGAATTTTATTAGCCTTCTAATAAACAATGATAATATTTCTGGAGATATGAAGTTTTCTAATATTTTTTCCTTTGTTACTGAAAAATAAGCACATCTGCTAGGAAACAGCAGGAAAAATAAGTTATAAAGGAATAAAAACCTTATTTGCGCCTAACTCAGAAAGTATACAATTTAGGGTTGGCTAATTAAATTTTAAAGTAATGACTAATAAAATTTAGTCATAATAAAAATTAAAATTCAACCTATTAAAATATTCTCATATATTTTTCTTATTATTTTCAATAATGAACCGTTGTTAGGGACTAAAAAAAAAAAATAAAAATAATCCTCAACTTATTATATTTCATTTACTTTTTTCTATATTGTATTACCATTTCTTCACTTGCCAATATACTCATTTATACTGGATGTGCCACCTAATTGTAATAAATTAATTTTAAAAATGCATTTTTATTTATAAAAAATATTTAATATAGATATAACAAATTAAGTTTTTTTATACAAAAAAAAAAAAAAAAATGAAATTTACAAATTAAAGAACTAGTTGAGATAATAGTCGATGCTAGTAGAACCCAAGGAAACTCCTATCATCTCCTAGAAGAAAACCATTTCTTCATTCTCTTAACCAGTGAAAGGAAGTTTGCTAAAGAACACAAAAACTGAATGGTAGAAATATGGAACAAATGTTTAAGTAGAGATGAGTCAAAATTTGAAATGTTTGGTTTCGGAAGGAGACAGTATATTAGAGAAGATCTGGAGTGTAATTTTCGGATAAATATTTACAACCAACAGTTAAACATTCCTTGGTTCCTTAATGATTTGGGGGTGTGTTTCTTGTTCTGGAGTTGGAGATCTCTAGTGAATAGATGGAAAACTGGATGCAAAAATGGTACGATAGCATTCTTACATATCATGCAATATCATATGGGATTAAGCTCATTAGGCAGAACTTTATTTTTCAGCAAGATAACGATAAAAATATGGATATTTTGCAAGTTTTTGAAATAAAAGTAACATTAAATAGAATATAAAAAGGAATTATGAAATATAGTGGAGAATTCCAATATTAAGATAATTTTTATAGATACATTCAGCTTCCTAGAGTTTATACAGAGGCTAACAATAAGTATTATAGACTGAAATGGATAACAAAGTATTGACATTTAAACAATAAGGTAGCAATATTCAGGAAACAATGTCAACAGATTGGATTGGCCTCTTGGCTTGTTGTTAATTGAAAATAATGATAATTTAAATATATATATAATATCTACAATGTCTGCAAAGCTAAATCAGTTTTCAATTAAGAAGATAAAAACACTCATAAATTGAAACATTTGTCATTTTTACAAAAATTTGGTTTGTTCAAAGATTTTTCCACACCACTGTATATGTTAAAAAAAATAAATTATTACTTTTAACATCAATTCTGTTATATTTAAAATTTCTAATTTTTGAAGCAATCCTCCACTTTCATAGAGATAAAGAGAGAGCCCCCTGTATAATGGATATTGCAATGCAGTCAGAGCCTTTAAAAAACTATTTAATCCGACATCATTAAGTGTAGCATTATCCAGATTCCTTAAAACAAAGAAATAAATTAATACACAATTGATAAATACAAAGATTTTTAAATAGCTTTAAAGATAAGGTCTTACTTGGTAAAATATTCCATTGCTTTAGATAAAACAATTTTTTGGACAGGGCAGACACTTACAGCTGGAAAATAAACTGCATCAAGTGGATAGCTTGTTTCAACAACAGACATAACGATGGGAACAGATACATATCCAGTCCAAGAATCATATATAAAGTACATAGCTCCAGTCAGACAGATAGTAAAAAATACGCTCCATATTAATCTAGAATGATTTCAGTTTCACAGTGGTAAATTATATTAGTTAAAACATAGTTTTAATTACAATATCTTGTAATAAGTTTAAGAGAAAATTCCATAGTTAATAAGTGCTCAATGTAAATTGAGCTTATTACCTGTGAACTGGGGTTTCCCCTTCTCGGAAAATATGTTGAACTCCATGGATTGTGGAATTCTGGGTAAATTCTTTTAACAAATTTATGCTCTTTATTTTTTTGTACTGCTTATCATATTTTTGTTTTACAGATGATACTTTGTGTTGATGAATTTTTCTCTGATGGAAACCATTGTCATGACTTGAAGAATGCATAGTATAGACTGTGACAAGTAAATAGAAAAGTAAAAGTTCTGCTACTCATAGCTCTAATGGTACTGAAGTAATGATATGTCAACATAACATGGTATAACGTTCCAAATGAGATGTCAATACCACATTTCAAACAGTAAATTATACCATTCTGAAATTATTAACATATTTCCAAATATTCCAATGGTGAAATTATTAATAAAATCTAGAATGAACAATAATAACCCATGTCATTATTGAATTTAAGTGCAAACAAAAAATCTGAAAAAATCTATATATATTATCAACAACTGATTTGATGCTTATATCAGATTTGAAATAATAATATAATAAAGTTATTCTAATTTCATAGTACATTATATTTATTTTTTTAATGAATAAAATTTGTATAAGGCTAATCCATGTACACCTAATTTAATGATTTCTTCTGAGATATCGTGTTTTGGAGTGCATACAGAATTAATTACACATAAAGATTTGCTGTTAAATTAAATTGAACCATAACAGAAAATATTTTATATACACTTTTAAACACAGCAAGCTATAATTATACGGTGAACCCTTTTTAGATAATTTAGTAATCATTAAAATTTTGGAAATAGTAAAAAGCAATGATACAATAGATTTATACTTAATAAAGATCCTAATAAAAATGAAAATAATAAACCAATATTCTGTAATATATTTAAATTCAAGTATAATGAAATAGTTGAAATATAAAAAATATTAACCTGGCTGCTAATTGATGAGGTCTTGTGAGAATGCAGAAATGCTAGTATGAATTCTAGAATCTGTTGATTTTAAAATTCGTAAATAAATCACTGTACACAAATTTCTAATAAAATAATACAGTATTTCTGAAAAACTAATGAAACTGGCACCAATAAACAAGTTACCGACACCTCCAAGACTAACTGAAATTAATACAAAACACTTATCATAATATGTTTCTTTACTTTAATATTATTAGAATGATTTAAGAATTACTTATATTCAATAAAAAAAAAAAGGTACTACTACTATTATGGTGTACAAAGTTTTTTTTTTTTCTAACATGAGACCAATCATTCATAGTGATCAGTTTGAGAAAGGCTCCCAGGAGTAATTGAGAAGTATATGAACTTTTTTATGAAAACTACAATCTAGCCACTCCACTCGTGAGACAATAATATAAATATATAATTTATATAAATATTATACTGATGTTTCCTACTTCGTAAACAAACAAAAAAATAGATTTTTTTCAATTTGTAAATGATTTTTTTCATTGTTTTCAAAGTAGTTTGTGGATGATCCTAAATAGATTTTTTCCAATTTGTAAATAATTTCTTTCATTTTTTTTCAAAGTAGTTTGTGGATGATCCTATTTTAAGAATAAAGGGAAATTTTAGCTCTATTCTTTATATCAAGGAGAATGCCAAGTACTAATTATCGACTATTTACTACAGTTTTTAAAAATTTGGCGAGACTGTATACTATATGACTTGAAACAGTATATGAATTCCATGCTGCAGAGGCAGCCTAACCATACCTCCATAACCATTCTCAAGGCCATCAGGGCCACTTTGTCAGTGTCCCACTCACTAGTGGACTAGGATTTTAGCTATTCAGGGTCAGGAGTTGAACAAGGGATTATCAGTCAGTGTGAATTGCCTCCAGTATGCTAACGATCTTTACAACCTTACAATTGGTAAGCAAAAGTACTTTTACAAGCCCCTAATGTCACTTGGCCATCCTTAATCCTTTACATATTTACACATACACAATGTAAATAGCTTTATGAAAATCACATTATGTTATTACAAAAAGTAATCCTAGCCTAATTAATTTCACCTATAATAATTTAACATTATAAAATGTTACCTATAAGTTGTTCTCTACTAAATGTAAACTTTCTCAAGTACTTAATAGATCCATATGTTTTATAATATATGTTTAAATGGCCAGTTGCATTACATTCACCACTTATATTTCTTCTTTTGATTCCTAAATCATACCAAACAGAATCACAAGCAGTCTGGCAGGAACAATCTGGAAAATCTTTTATACTGGGTTTAGAGAAAGCATATTTTGACGGAGTCTTCATTTTTAGTGCTTCTGGAAGAAATATACAATGATTAAAATTAAAGTATTGATAATCTATTATAGAAGATAAAACTATTGTTGCATACCTGCATATCTTACTACACACCAAAGTTGGCTTAGTTTACACAATGGTTTAGAAGTTGCCTTTTCAGGATCTGAAGAGAAAATATCACAAAGTAATACAATTTAAACAAACTGACATCAAAGATAAAATTAAATTTAAGGCTAATATAATTTTACATATCAAAGATCATTAATTTCAGTATGTGATAGTTAATGTAATATTTAACAGCAAAATTAACAATTTTATATCTACCTAGAATATCTAGTTTACCGCATTTACTAACTGGTGCATTAATAAGTATCTATTTAAATAAAATAAAATAAAATCTTAATTGTTTTAATAAAATAGTTTTGTAATGTACAATATTATGTAATATGTTTGAATACTACTACATATTAAACCTGTACTACTACAACCAATGAAATGTCAAGGATTCAGCACTTTCTAAGGAAGTACTGTTTCTTGGTCAATTGTTGTGCTAGGAGATGACCTTACCAAAATCATGCTTAATCACCAGGATTTTCCCCTTAACTAATTATTTAGTTTAGAGTACCCCATCAATACATGGATGTGTCCCAGGAGGGTCTCCCGATTCCTGAGTCAATCTATGGCTGCTATAACAATAAATAATTACCTGTTATACCCGGACTCCAACCTAGGACTCGGAGATTAGAAGCATAAGGAGTATGTTATATTAGAAAAATGAGATGCTACTGTACAAATGTCACTCCACTAGGGCGAAGTAGGGGAGAAAAAAACAACTGAAAGTTTATTAAATAGAATATTGAATTAAATATAATGATTTAAAAATTTAATAAATTCTGAAAATCAAAACTTCTAAGAAAACTTCTAGCACTACAAAACATACTAGAAATCCATAAGCATGCAAAGAAACATTTATAAGAGGGTGCAAGAACAAAAATTAAACAAAATTAAAAAAAAACATCTCTTATTGTTAGACAAATAACATATTAGCACAGCATATATGGCACTCCTTACAAGGCACAATTATTTTGAGATATAAATACAACTTGGTTGAGACTTAAATACAATTTATATTTACTTATACAGCTCTATATCCTATTCCTGTTCAGTGGTGTACATATTGGAGGAAGAAAGTTTAATTTTTATTAATAATTTATTTTTTTAGGAGCATTAAAAAATAATTTTCTCTGATCCACAAACTAGTATAAGTATGCCACTTGGCATGACACTAGATTGCCACCTTCTTTGACAAGAAAAAAGAGACAAAAAGTGTGACAGAGAGAGGAATATTTAATAATTTGTTAATAAGTGTAAACAAAATTTAAGGCAGCTGAGTAATGCCTCTCATTACCTGGTATTTTAGTCCAACACCAAAAAAATTAAAAAGTCTGTAAAGAGAATTATTTATTTTTTTTTGTGGATATAAAAGCGGTTGGTAAAATAATTTATAAAATATATAATATAATTTATAGGAAATAAATTCTAGAAATTCGACTAAACGTTGTTACAGTTGAAAGAAAGGTGGGATTAAAATAAATAAATATGCTTTATCACAAACTTTCTCTTCCAAATGTATTTATTGCTGGACTGGGCTTTTTATATAACATTTTTATGATCCTTAAATGGGCCCATAAATTTTGAACAGTTCATGTCAATGTTCATTGTGTTAATTAGTCCGAATATTATTAAATCAACACTGGCTACGATATCCGACCATGTCTGCTTCCTTTGTGTGATCACACCCGCCACACATTATGGTCGTCTAGTTGTATAATAATTTCCTTCCTTAAAGGTTCCTACACACAGAGTGCAATATGTCTCTGCGACATGGTATTCCTGTCGGCGGCGATATAGTTGTATTACTATATTCTATTGGGTTATAGCAGTCACACAGAGCGCGATAATCCGCAGCGATACCGACAAAGCGATAATGTATCGCCAAGACAAACGGCATTCACTGTCTAGGAGCCTTTAACACTCATAGAAATGAAGAATTATTTTTTAACAACTATACAAACTAGGAGACAAATCCCATCCCGCTGTGTGGTTCAGTCAATAAACAGGAAAAATGGAAACTCTGAAACTATTAGATATTAAACATGAAGTAGGTACAGGACAGCACTAGCGGATCCAGGATTTAATTTTGGAGGAGGCTTCAGCCCGAAAGATTTTTTTTTCAAATATATGACGACAATTAATTTTTAAAAAAGAAAGAAAGGAATTAACTTCCTATAGGAAATGGTGTTTAAGTGATTCTTGATGTCCTATTAAATGTATTTACACGAACAATAATACTTTAAGAGATAGTTTTTAATTTGGTTTTCTATGAAACATGGTTATATTTTACCGTTTTCGGGAGGAGAGCTTCAGTCCCCAAAGCCCCCCTAGATCCGCCTGTGCAGGACAGCAGATTTTTTTTTTATTTGAATTTGACAGTGGTTGGGTATAGAATAAGATCTCCTCAGTTTCTTGATGAAAAGTGAAAAACTATAATTAAATAATTAGACTAAAATAATAACTAAAACAGCTAAGAATGGCGTATGAATGACCACCAATAATCTCAATCCGGCAAATACCATCATTGTGATAACCAATTCAGTTTCTTGGTTGTAGAGATGGTTTGTATCGAATGGAAAATCAAGCATCAAGTAAGTGACATTAAGTTTTTTTATTAATATTTTATTTATGTATTTAGTTGAATATATAATATATAAATCCAATTCCATAGTGAAAAGTATAAATCACAAACCATAAAAGAAATAAAGCTGGCAGCCACAAACACGCATTATGAAGTTATGTCTACATCCAATTATGCAGGAACGTAGACTGTAATATTTTATAAAAGAATCATTTTCGAAGCCTAAAGTACATCCCCTTTCTTCTTTGCTTAGCCTTGAAATTATTTTAGAACTAAATATCATGGATGTGCTGACTTCTATTTGAACATATTCTCCAGGTATGGTTCGAAGAAGGGTACCTCCTCCAGCTTCAGGCAATTGGTGCACAGCGCTCAATATCACCTATGTTAACAAACCATATTAGGCAGGCTTAATCTATAAATAAAAAAAAAATCAATAACCAGGGCCGTCCGTGGGTTTTCGGCACCCGGATTGAGAATTTACCGGTCACTCCCCTACTCCATCCCAAACCTACTAAGAGACTATTACCCCACGTTTAAATAGAGAAAGAGAGATGATAATAGTAATAAAGGCTTAGGGAAATCGAAGTTTCGATGCCAAAATCACCAATCGCAGCTCATATGATCCCATCCAAGGCCTTCACGTGAGTTTTTGGCGCCCGGGACGAAATTATATCAGGCGACCTTCCCCCTCGCATCTTATTGTATTTAATTAGACTTTTTCATTTCCGTTCCGGATGTATAAATCTTTAGCCAGCTGATTGTAATTTATTTAACTACAGCAAATGGAACTGAGGTTATAAATAATTATTTGGCTTTAGTCATGTATGATAATATAAGCAAATATTAAAAGGAATGAATTAAAAAGTAGAAAACGTATAGAAATAAGACTGCAAAAGCATTATGCCGTCTTTATATTTTTATCCTTGATTCGTGGCGCCCTTGTAAATTTTAGTAATAGTAAACCGGGGCGATCGCCCTGCCCACGCGGCGGCCCTGTCAATAACCAATTATTTATATTTTACTTTCATCATTTTAAAATGTAGGAATATCATTTTAAAAATAAAATAGATGACAGAAACGACAAAAGTACATAGTACATATTATTAGCAACAATCTTTTATCAATTAAACAAATAATTCCAAGATTTAATTAATCATATCATTTATATGATATAAAAAGTCCCGTGATAATTAATCACTACTATTTTCATATCAAGCTGGAAAAAAATATGTTTGTAATTTTTTAATACTTTTTGGAGGGTAAAACTTTTTGGAGGGTAAGAAAAAAAAAAAAAAAAAAAAAAAAAAAAAATGTTTGTAATTTTGTGAGACAAATAGACCAAGAGGTGCGCCGAGGATCAACTCAAGTATCAAGATGAATTGTATACGATTTATATTAATATTTTATATATTTATATTAATTAAATAATATAATCATATTAATTAAAATTAATATATAATTAATGTATTTATATTAATTAATTATTTATATTTATGTACTACTTATCCATATTGATTGAGTATGTCAATAAAATCAATAAAATAATACTCCAAAACGAAATATTTTTCACTGGCTCCACGATCTCTAATGCTTGAATATAAATGAGTCTTCCAGATACCTCGTATGCACATACCTTAAAAACAGTGCAGGCGAAAGTATAATTACAAAAAATAAATTTACTTGCTGTATATTGCATATTTCTACCTTTGTTCCTCGGTTTGGAAGCTGCTTCAAATTGAAACTTGACCAAAATAACTTTTCCTCCAAAAATTCCTAATCCTGTCAAAATTTGCCCCCTCAGAATCTTTGATGACACGACTTGTGCTATACAAATCCCATCTGGACACTTCCGTAACTTAAATGATAGAGTATTATGTGAGAGTGGGCAGTGATCGACTTGAGGGTTCATCAAGATTGAGGGCTAGTCGATTGGCCCTCGTCCAACCTTCCCAAATCAGGGCAAATAAACAAAAAAAAATTAAGTGAAATCAATGTATTAAAAATTTAATCATTAACTTACAACGATTCCTGGGGCCATGTTTCGATCAGGCAAAAAGTATTTGCCTTTAACCTTTTGAGACTTCGTGAAAATTGTTAATCCTGAATGAATACCTGCAAAAGTAAGGTATTGGGGTATACATTTTCTTTCTTCCTCGTTTTCATTATTATACTTTTCGTACAATGAGCTGAAATTATTTTATTAATATGTAATGAATCAATAATTGATTGTAACAAAATATAATTGATTGTTCAACTACGGCAGCTTCTAATCTTACCACATTTTTTTGTCATCGGCTGAAAATGAATTGAAAGAATAACAGAATCCCTCTTCCGTCCGTTGTAAAGTAAATACTTCACAGCAGTTCATTTGCTTCCCATGCCATAGGCATTGCTCTAACAGATCATTGCATCTAGGCAGAACCTGTAAAATAATTTTTAAAAAAGTTACTGTAAATGTTCATTGAGTCTGTTCTACAGAATTTTTCAAAATGGCTAATAGGCCCTTACTGCGAGCATGAAGTCAGTAATGTTTAAATTGTCAAATTTTTTTAAAACATTTCTGTTCATCTGTAAATATTTTTTCATTTCTGAATAATTTGGATATTTAAGATAATGCAACATTGCAATTACATTTTTAATTGTAATAAACTTCATATTCGTAAAGTCATTAGTGTACCTGAAAAAAAATTATGTTAGGATTATTTTTTTGACGTTTTTTTTTTTAAATTTCAAATGCACCTTCATTAACCTTGAAAGATATTTCACAGCAAGGGACACATTTATTTTATTTTGTGGGCATAGTGTTACAGAAGGAAAAGGAGATTCGGCCAATGGAAAATTAGTTGTTTCTATGGATATTTCGACTCGTTTATATGAATATTTCTCCCATAAGTTAAAAGCAACTGTAGCAGCCAACGCTATAAAGATGATGGTAGTGATCAGCCAGAAAATTCTGAAATAACATCATCATATTAAAATTGATACCTAATCAGATATAAGCAAATAATTTGTAATAAATATGTTTATTAAAACAACAGTAAAGAATACCTAATATACTTACTTTTTTCTCCTAATACCATGATTTATAATATTTTTTATAGATAATGGATCGTGGAAGAGCAGTTGGAAGCAGAACAGGCTAGTTTTCGTCCAGGCCGACAGACGCAGGATCAGATCTTTGTTCGCAGAAATATTGCTGAAAAAGCTTGGGACAAAGATAAAAATCTATATCTTGCATTCCTTGATCTGAAGGCTGCGTTTGATGTGGTCCCAAGAAAAAAATTGGAATGTCCTAATAGCCAAGGGTGTACCTGGAAACTTGCTGGCGGCCATACAGTCAGCCTATCAAGGAGCCATGGCAGTGTTAAGGATAAATGATATGGAATCGGAACCTTTTCCAATTGCGAGAGGAGTCAGGCTGGGAGATATCTTAAGTCCCCTTCTATTTATAAATGTAATGGACGAAATCCACAAAATCTGCAAGCGCCAAACTGCGTGGACAACAATTGGGAAATGGAATATGAGAACTGACCTCGTGCAAAGCCTTTTATACGCGGATGACGTAGTCCTAATAGACGACATCAAGACTAAAATACAACAAGCTCTGCTAGAATCTGAAGAAGAGTTGCTGAGGAAAGGGGTGCAAATTAACACCTCCAAGAGTAAAGTGCTGGTTATGGCAAGGGAAGAACAGGAAAATGTTGAACTGATCTGCAACGTCGAGACACTTGAGGCAGTGAATGAATATACTTACTTAGGGACCGTAATTAGTAGCTTGGGTAAGATAGACGCCGAAATATCAAACAGAATACGTAAGGAGAATCAGATGAACCAGACTACTAATAGCATAATCGGCCACCGCGAAGTAAACAAGAAGACCAAAATACATGTATATAAGTCTGTTTAACTACCTACGGCAGAGAAAACTGGACAACGCTGGACAGGCACTCTAGTCGCATAGCAGCAGCAGAAATGAGGTTTCTTCGCAGATCTGTTGGCAGAACTAGAAGGGATCGGATTAGGAACAAAAGCACTAGAGAGCAACTAGGAGTTACCGAACTTAACACCACTCTAGAAAGACGGCAACTCCAGTAGTTTGAACATGTCTGCCGCACGAACGAGGACATGAATCCTATAAAGATATTAGAGGCTCGACCCACAGGAAGGAGGCCACGCGGACGCCCCAGAATTACATACCAAGCGTATATCCAAATAATTGGAGGTAAAAGAGGCAAAATCCTCAATGAGATGAAGCGGCTGTGCAGGGACCGGAAAGAGTGGTTACGCTGGATTGAGGCTCCTCGACGCTAACTAATGGCATAAGAGAAAGACAAAGAAGAAGATATTAGTAACTCGTGGATGATTTTATGTAGTGGAAGAACGCAGGCAACCTACAATGGTTAATCCAATCTGAGATGGATACAAACCAGTTTTACTAGACCAATTAGGTATGTAGGTTTCTTATTGATTCCATACGATACTCCGAATTCTATTTATTCCTATGAGAGGAGCAGCAATACGATGTCGATTATAGTCATCTTTAATGGAAGAAAAAGACGGGTAGATTTATCAAGGGAATTAGAACCATTAAGATCTTCCGATTCAGGATATAGGTATTCTGAATGTAGAATGAAAATGACAAATCGTGTCCTGAGGACTTCGATTGTTTTAATAACGGTAACGGAGCGATAACTACAAGCGGATTTAGGGGAGGGGCACCCTTCCCATCCTCCCTGGACGGTGAGAAAAAATGTGAAACAAGTAATTAAGCAACCTGCACTTTAATTATTAATACTTTAATTAAAAGTAAATTGTATCAAACAAATAATTTTCATTTGTACTTTGTATTAAAAAACAACGAATCCTGAGGCCATGTTTCGGGCAAAAAGAATTTGTGCCATTAACCTTTTAAGACTTCGTGAAAATTGTCATGTCTATTTTGACCGCCGTTCTGTGGCAAAATACTAGATGAAACAAAATACACGTTTCTTTTCATATATATTCACCTCTGGTGCATGAAATGTATCTGTTTCGCAAGTGCGTTCCCCTCAGAACATTTTTGGATCCTCTACTATCTGGATCCACCATGCACAGGCAGATTTACGGGGGGGGGGAGGGCTTTCGGGCTGAAGCCCTCCTCCCCCAAAACGGTATAATATAACCATGTTTTATAGAAAAAATATAAAAATATATCTCTTATAGTATTATTGTTCGTGTAATTACATTTAATAGGACTTCAAGAATAACTTAAACACCATTTCATATAGGTAAGTTCATTTCTTTCTTCGTTTTTTTTTCAAATTAATTATCGTTATATATATGAATAAAAGTCTTTCGGGCTGAAGTCCCCCTAAAATTAAATCCTGGATCCGCTAGTGCCACCATGCACATACATAAATCAGAAATTTCTAGTTTGAAGCTTACCTCACCACTTTCAATAGATTTTTTTTTTTAGATAATAAACTTTATATTACTTTAATTATAAACGCAAGCTTAATAAAATAATTTTAAATTGCGAGAGTTCTTTGTACAATATACTTATACTCAAGTTATAAAATAAAAACCTGTTAGGAGTGTTTATTCATTTATTCTTTATAGACGTGTTAAATCAAAAAGTTATTTATACGGTCTTTAAGAGCGATAATTCGGCTTTTCAACGGTTGTAGAAACAATAGGAACTACTTATATCCGTATTGTTTTGGTATTTCTTCACTAAACAAAATTTTCTGCCAATTATTCCCACGGGCCAACTAATTGTATATATCGTGAATGTTCTTACTTTGTGAATATAGAACAAAAAAATATTTATATTTCATATTATTAATACCGTCTCGATGTTTTCAGAAAAATAAAATAAAATAAAAGTCTTTAGCACATGCCGTATTTGTTTCTTCTTATATTTACTATACAAAGTCCTTTTAATTTCTACGAAAACGTTTATTTTCCATTCAGTAATATAAAACTAGAAATTATTAACTACAGGCATTAAAATTTAATTACTTTTCGGCACTTCCCATTGCCTTCTACGATTTATGTTAGATATTCATTTTTACTGAAATCTTAAACTTTCCAATTTATATTAAACATCAATATTTGAGCTCTTATTTCCAATCTGCGATATTTCTACCGTTTTCTCATTTAGTTGATCATCAAGTTCTTTCGTAATTCACAATTATCCGTTAAGTTTTACTAAGAATGATTATTATTAATTATTTAAAATAAAAAATATTTAGATGGAGAAATTTTGAGAACTTCAAACAATAAAACAATTTCAATGAGGTTGATACCTACATGATATTGAATAACATTTAATTTTCTGGCAAAATAAGATTTTGTGTAATATCTTAACGCCATAAAAAAAAAAAAAATTAATTTAAAATCTACACAGGCCCGGTCTGGGGGGAGGGAGGTGCATCGTTTACTATATTTTTCTTTTACTTACAATTATATATGTAATATATAGTAAGGATAAGTATTGCGATCGTGAAAATTTTTGAATCTGAGTTTTCAACGGAAATAAACGTTTTTGGGTACCCTGAGTCCAAATAACCAAGTCCCGAAAAATGGTCTGTGTATCTGTACGTTAGCAGTCTAGCTCAAAAACGAAAAGTCTTACGAAAATGATATTACGAATTTAAGATAGGTATATGCATTAGATGTGACAGCAACATTTTCCTTAAAATCAGCTAACCGGAAGTCCCACTTTAAATCAACGTTGAAACACATTTTTACAATTTTCCCCAAAACGGCTCTAACGATTTTGATTAAACTCGTTGCATCATTGTATAATTAAGTGGTCTTTAATATCATTTAGGTATTATCCCTGTTGATGTCACTTTTCAAGGCTTAAATACCCAATGTTCATATGTGTCTTCTACTAGAGTACCTTTAATATGGTTTATTTTAAATAATCAACTATCTCTCATTATTAAGATTTACGAAAAAATTCTAAATATAACTTTTGAAAGAACTTGATAATAGAATAACGGAGAAAAAAATAAAAATGCTTATCTAGGTCGAAAATGAATCTCCAGAAGTACTAGTCAGAAGGTATACGAGTAATATATCGCTGGAAAGCGGAGAATTTTAGAAAAAAACAATATCTAATATAGAAAGTTGTAGAAGGTAACAGAGAGTGACAAAAAAATTATAAATAATAATGTTTGAAAACTAACAACGTAAATCACATGTTTTCAAGGCAATTAAATGAAATTGACTAACTAAATGTAAACTTTTAAAATATTTTTAAGTTTGAAAAAGTATTTAAAATCCACCTAATCAAGGCAATGACATTGTTTAAAAAACTATTTCATTGTGCTTGTGTGAAAGAAGAAGTAAAATATAAAAACATTTCATGGATGTATAAAGCATATGTTTATAACCTTAAATACATTTACTGTAGCTTAATAATTCTAGATCTAATATTATATTTAAATAATTAGGCATCAACGTCCGTTTATTCCGAAGTTTTTTCATAAATTAGTGAATAATTTGATGAATCTAACTTTTGTTATATTCCAACAGTATCAACTACTATTTCATTGTACTTGTGTGAAAGAAGAAGTGAAATATAAAAATATTTCATAGATAATACGTTTATAACCTTAGATATATTTACTGTAGTTTAATAACTCTAGATCTGATATTATAGTTAAATATTTTTGTTATCTATCGTCCGTTTATTCCGAAAAATCATCATGCAACCTTTTAGAAAATTAAATTAGTGAATAGTTTGATGAAATTTCCTTTTGTGATATTCCAACAGTATCCACTTACAATTAGTGTGACAACTTTTGACCTGTCTATGACAGACAATGCAAATCTAAAATTCCGTTTTAATAAACTTTAATGGAAAATAACATTAATAACTAATAGTCGTACAATCCATAATCAACGGATCGTACAATCCATAATCAACCGGTGATATAATAAATAGGACTTTGGTTATTTTAATGGTATTTATGACCTGTTAGCTGTAATTTTTTAGCTTTAGTTCGGTTAAAAATGCAATTCAAAAATTTTATAATAGCCCAACATGGCCAGAAAATTATTTCTATTCTAAGTTGAGCGGTAAGTGAAAGTTGTGTGTTGCGCGCACTAGATTTTAAGTTACGTGGTAATGAAAATAACTATTTTGTATCATTTTATCACCGTAGTATATTTGGAAGACCACCTCCGCGGGCCTTAAAAATATTATTTCATATTTGTTTATTACCATAGAAAATAGGCCCTAGGTAGAGGAGAACCCAAAAATTATTGCTTTATATATTTTATTCTCCCTTCGAGGAACAACAAAGATAATTATTTCACATTAGTTATCACCGTTGGGTTGGGGCCCACTTAAGATCTCCCATTAATTCGGCATGGGAAGATACTATTTGAAAATATTTATATTAGATTGACAAAATATTTCTAATTTCAGGACTAGGAAAACAAATAAAAACATATTTAAGGGCCGTCATAATTTTTTTTCCGTTTTCTCCAACATTTCTATATTTCTCCGGATTAGTTACTGAACCAAACTGCGTCTCATTTGCGCCCATGCGTATATCTAAATAACTGAACTGTATGTCAGATGTATAGACATGGAACTCATGAACCAAGATGGTACTAAAAAAATGGAATAATGTGAGGTAAAATAAATAAAGTCGGACTTATACGAATATTTAAGTCCTTAAGTATATTTTTAAAAAGTTGTTTTAAATATCCTCTTCAAACCCTAGCCGAAGGCCCTCAACGGAACCAGGCCGAACCTGCATCAACATCTTGGGTTTAATCCAAACTATTAAGAGTCGTTTTCGAAAAAAATGTAAAATCGACGGTACATAGTACCATTCTAGGTTAATCCATTTTGAGGAAATCCTGTAACATCTCTGGCCTCCTGTAACATCTCTGGAAATCCTGTAACCTATCTATATTGTATATGAAATTTCTTTTACATAGGACTTTTCGTTTGAGCTCAGCTGTTCACAAACACAAAGGCACACACGTGACCACTCCTTTTGACTTCAAATTATGATTAAATGTAAGCATTTCCGTCGAAAAATCGAATTCGAAATTTTTCACGATAGAAAAACTTTCCTTTAAATACCTACTATATATTTCATACATACTTAAGTGAAAGTAGAAGTATTTAAACAATGGGATGAAATTATATTTAATTCTCAAAAAAAATTATTGTTTGTATGGTTTAGTGCCAGGCATTTACATGGTTTCCACTGAAATTGGAAGAATTGTATTTTAAATTCATTGGAATTTTCAACTATAACAACAGAAAAATTAAACTTTCTTAAATGTAATAATTATTTCTACTAAATTTTTTAACTATAATGTGATTATTGTTATTGGAGACTTCATCAGTCAGGTTTGTAGGGAGCATCAAAAAATCCTAAAACAAATCCATTCTTGAAACAGATATTTTAAAATCGTCAACCCACTATTATTATAAGACTTTTTTTATTTATTAATTTTTAATGATTCCGTTAACTAATCATTTCAACTGTAGATTCAGGAATCCTGATATTCCTTGACATTTATTCTGGAGTTAACTTTATTTACACATTTTATAAACCTTTAAATTAAAAAAGGTGATGTCTATTCTTTAACTATTAACAATTTTCTTATGAACATAAGAATATGTAATGGTTAGTTTTTTATTCTTTTGATACTTAAATTTATCAGTTTTACAAATTTAAAATCTATAAGTAGACTCCATGTAGAAAAAAAATTACCAAAATTTTCAAGATTTAATCAATCATACTTGAAAGTTTGCTATTATTTTTTCAAAACTACTGTACTGGACCAAATGAAAAGTTTTAGTGAAATGGATGAATATCACATTCATAGTTTTAGGAAAAAAAAATATATAAAAATATAAACTAATATAATAAAAATCACATAAGAATAAATTTTAATTACAACTTCAGATCATTTGTATTGTACTAGAAAAATTTACGATTTTTTTTTAAATTAACACAATTAAAAAAAAAATGGACTTTAACATTAATCATCTCTTGAGTTAAAAATGTTTCAGAAAGCAAGTATATAACATCTTAATATTTTAATGATATATGAATATATCTAATACCTTTCTAGAACAATAAAATTTGCTCTTCCAATATATTTTATTCCATGCAGTGTACTGTTGTCACTATATTTTTGAAAAAAATTAAATATCATTATAATTAATAAACTTTAGCCTTTTTCAATACGAATAATAAACAAGCACCTTCTGCTATAGCTAAGGAAATGGTATGGAAATTGAAAGCTTCTGGATAATGATGTTTACATTATATTTTCATACGATCAATGGATTCTTAGTGAAATAGATGGTCTCCTAAAAAAGTGAAAATAAAATCGATGATTTTTTACTGATGGCAATACAATACAAATAATAAGGCAATACTTTAAAATAATATTAAAAAATCATCAATATTATTTATTTAATTTTTAAAAGCATTCCTTTATTACTTGATGAAAGTTCCTGAAGACCCGTTTATTGTTGAGAGATATTAGCATATCCTCAATCTCCAAATGAATTTGCATGACACAACAATGGATTTCAGGAACAGAAGGCTGAAAATGATTTAATTGAATCTCTTTATCAAGTCAAGGATTTTATTTCAGTTAGTAAATGGGGACAAGAGAACTCTACACTGGGAGAAGAATAGAGTCTGCTTTTTGAATTTACAGATTTCAAATAATAGGAACAGTATTAACATTAAATTCGGAACAAACACAGGGTAATACAGAAATTAAAAGAGGGTAAATTATATGATATATATTTATGTTTTCTTCCACATATATAAAAATACCGGAGGGTACTATGTAAGTAGAGAAAAATATTAAAAGAGTGATAGCGGGGCTCAAGAGCTACAAAAAATTTTATGAAAATAATTGTTATGCAGAAAAATAGGAAATATATTTTTGTGTTTTCTTAAATTTCAGTGCTAATTAAATTAATAATTTAATATGTTATCATACCTTGTTTCTTTTCTTAACCGTCAATTCATTAAATCAAATTCTTTAATGATATCTATTCAATTGTTCTAACATTTATTTGTAATTCACTATCTTTACTATTAAAAATGAATTAAAATATTCGGTTTTTATTATATTCAATTGTGTAGCAATTAAATTATAAGTCACAGCTTTCAACACCTATATCTTGGGATATTGTTTTCTAGCTTTCTGTGAGCTGCTACTCTGCAGAATCTTTGTTGGTACTCTCTATCATCCATCTGGTTTTTGGTTTCTAACATAGCCTCTTGCCAAATATTAAGGCATCTGTTATGTAAATGTTTCCTAATGGATTGCTCTGAGCAACCAATGCCTCACCCATCTTAACCTCATTGTTTTCGTATCATGGGGTAATGATATTTCCGTTTCTATAAGGCGTTTATTGGTTCCCTATATGTCCCATGTTCTTAATTATCACATTCTCCAGTAAAAAGCTGAACATCGGAGAAAACCCATCTCGCTCCTGTAAATCAGTTAGGGTTTTGAATTCAGATGCGTCTCCTTATATTAGGACTCAATATTTAGGATCATTGGTACAGTTTAGTCATGATCTTCCAAAGACAGTTTCTGTCCACAGAATCATAGGTTAGTTTGAATTTCGACAAATGTGGTGTGCGTGTGCATAGCACATACTGAATTACTTCTCTTTATTTTTAAAGCTTCTAGTTTAGGATAAAGATTTGGTCTAGTGTGCACTTTCTGAACACAGCTTGGTAGTCATCTATTATATTTTTGTATAATATAGCTGATTTATAAAAATGTTGATTATAATTGTTAGAGTAACTATAGTTCTGAAAATAGGAAATAATACCCCAAAATATAAACTATGAATGAATATAAGAAGAAGAATAAAGAAGCAAATACACAAGATTTAATGCTCAGATTTTCTAAAAACTAATAACAAATTCCCAAAATATATGAAAAAAAAAATATAATTTATATTTTCCAAATCATACTATAGAAGAAAATAGCATGGTTTGATAGAATAAATAAAAGGTATGATAAGGTAAATGAAGCATAGAGAAGAACTTATATTTTTATTGTTGTTTTAATAGAAGTAAATAGTAACTTAATATAAAAATGGAGTATTTTGTTTATTTCTACAAGCTAGTTTCCTACCATCAAATTAGCAACAATAACTACTGAAAAAATTCATCCAACATTAAATATAATAATAATAAAATAGTGTCCTGTAGTGAATATATTATACAATTAAAGTTTAGTTTTCTTCCTCTTGACTCTCTTCAGTAGGTCTTTGAAGTACCTCAAGCTCAAGTCTTTTTGTTTCAGGTACTATTAAATACGATATAATAAATGATATAATACAACTAACAGCAAAGATATAAAAATTTAAATATATTCCTACATTGCTCTTTATTACTTGAAATAATTTGGTAACTGCAAATGAAGATGTTGCATGAGATACAGTCACAATAGAGGAAGCCACTCCTTTTAGATTGGGAGGAAATAATTCACCTTGAAGGGTATTAATCAATGGCCCAAGGCCTAAAGAATAAACTATAGAAAATAAAGTTATCATTAAGAATGGTAACATTGGAAAATCAATGAATTTCCCATAATAATAAGTTCCAGAAACTAAATGGGTCAAAGCACAGCCAAAACAAGAAAATAATAATAATGGCCTCCTACCGAGACTATCTATTAAAGCAGCTGAAACAAAAGTAAACAAGAAAACTAAAACACCAAACAAAATTGTGTATTCATCAGAACTCAATCCATCCGAAGAAGCAAAATTGGAAGAAGCATATGCAACAAATGCAGACATTCCAGTAAACCGTTGAGCAACGGCAGTAAATACAACTATGACTAACTTGCTAAAATAAGCTTTAGAAAATAAAAGTTTGAATTTAGAAGTACTCGAAATTTGGTGTTCAAGCATTTGATCAAGTTTTATAACTTCTGATTCAACATCATGTTCACTTTTTAAAAGCCATTTTAAAACTGAGCTAGCTTCATCACGTTTACTATCAGATACTAAAAATAAAGGAGACTCAACCATAATAAAAAGAAGAATAAAAGAAATAAATGCAATAGACATTGAAACTCCATTTAATATTTGAAAAGAAACATAAGGGCCAATGCTAAATTCAATGACATGACCCAAATAAAGCATTGATTGAAAAAATGTGCTAAGTGCTCCTCTAATTTCTGGAGATGCAATTTCAGCAATATAAAGTGGCACAACTGTAAATACAATGCCCATTGCTAATCCAAACAAACATCGAGCAATATACAGAGTGAAAACAGTTGTAGAAAAGAATACGATAATCCATCCTGATAAAATTAAAATAGATGAAAATAATAACCACCGCTTTCTACCAAACCTTGCTAGTAATAAGCCAGTAGGAATAGGACTTAAAAAATGTCCAATTTCATGTGATGCTGCTAACCAAGAGCTTTCTCCTTCTGTAATTAAAATAGGTGAATCTCTGCCTTTCAGCTTCTTTAAAGCTGGTGAAGTCCAACCTACAGTGCATCCAACACACAGGACAGCTATCCCAGCTATAATAAAATAAATATTAGAAAATCTTGTCACTTAGTTAAAAAAAGGTTAAAAAATTACATCAATATTATATAATAGATGCAAGCAAAACTGTGATTGCTTGATATGCTTTGAGTATCATAACAACCTAATAACATGTCCAAGAATAAAATTTAAAGAACTACAAAAAATATTTTCAAATAAATAATTGATAATTATTAAAAATATAAAAATCAATATCAGATCAGCATTGCATACTTATTACTCTTATCTTTTTTTTTTTTTTTTTTTGGTCCATTATAAAATAGCAGAACAAATAAGACACACTTCACAGATAAATTTTATTATATTAAAAAGTACAAAAATATTTAGAGAAGGTTTGAGTTTCTAAATATTATTTACCTGTTAAAATAAAAGTTATAAGTCAATAAGATAATAGTGTAAATTAATAATGATTTGATTATTCTTTATTTTAAGAAAAAATTAAGATAGGATTTTAAGTAATACAAACATCATACAGATCAGAAGCTAAAAAAAAAAGAATTAGGCGAATAAAGCATAATTATTTCATTTCAATAATGAATAACTGATGAATAATTCAATTGTTACTAGAAAATGAAAATACAGAAGAAACATTTTTTTTTTTTACTATAAATTAGTTTAAACTAATATTGGCTAATAAAGCATTACTAATGATACCCACCTAAAATTGAAGATAAATACTGATTGAAATATGAACGAGAACACACAATCATCATGGTGTATGTTGAAGTGTTTTTTCTAGTAAAATGGCATAGCTAGTTATGACTGCCAATTAGTTAACAATATACTTGCAGATGTCAATGATAAGCATTTTATCTCAGGAAAAAAAATTCAAGAGGATTTATTTGAGAAAGGCACTGTTCTATGTCTTTCCCCGGATGAGTGGAACTCTTTATAACAGCTTTTACAATAAAAATCTTTATCACAGCCAAGACATATCAGAGTTGGTTTTTTATCACATATAACACAGAAATTATCAGAATCTTCAGAATCTGAGGTTCCACTACAGCTGGGTTCACTGTTATTATCACTATGAAGATCTAGTAATTCAGAACAGGAAGAATTCTTAAAGAAGTCATCATCATGAATATCATCACTTTTATTTTCTGAAGATGCTAAAGGAATTCTTTGAGAACTGAAGTTACAACCTTCACGACTTTTAAGCCTTTCAAGTCGAGACCTAATTACCGTATCTATGTCTCCCTCTGTTTTTTTAACTTTTACTTCTAATTGAGATTCTGCAGCTACCTGAGCAAGCAAATCTTCAACTTGTTCAGCTGCAGTCTTTTTAATAAGCTTGGGAAGATGATCACCTTGAGTGGAACTGGAAGGTAAATCTAAACTTGGTGAATCACCGGTTCTTAATTTTTGCAATCGTTCCCTAATTAAATCATCGATAGAACTCATGCTTTAGTATTATAACGCCTTCAACTACAATAAACAAGTTACATAATAAAAATAAAACATAGATGTGAAACGATCGATTATGAGTGCTCAAAAACTATTCAAGACACCTTGGCAATACAACGAGCACATTTTTTTTCAAACATATAAAATAAATTAAATAAAGTTACATTTGATTTTAGAAATCAGAACTTATCGAATTTGGCTAAATTGTAAGATATCTTAAAAAATATAGCAACCATTAATCTCCAAAAATTTAGAAATATTTTTGTTGTAAATTAAAGTTAATTTTTCAAATTCCATTTATAGAATGTTTATTATTCTGACGATGTTTGGTTATGTTACACTTCACAAATATTATTGAATTTGCTAAAAATTTTAGAAGAACTTTTTTAGATCTTAAAATTAATTTTTATAAATTAGAAACCTGGCTATTTTTCTGTGACAAAACTACTTAGTTCGCGACTCTTGTCCCGGAACTTAAAAAGTAGAATCTATAAAACAATTATCTTGCCTACAGTTCTTTATGGATGCGAAACTTGGCCGCTTACATTAAGGGATGAGCAGCGTCTTAAGGTTTTTGAAAATAAAGTATTGCGCAGAATATTCGGACCAAAGAAGGATGAGTTAACCGGAGAGTTCAGACGGTTACACAACGCCGAATTGCATGAACTGTTTCCGGGTAATATATTGAGGTAATTTCATCGCGGCTTTCATGGGCTTGTAATGTTGTTGGACTTAGTAACGAGAGAATTCCTAAAAGGTTAATATTTGGTGTGCCGAACGGTAAGCGTCCGAGGGGTAGACCGAAGCGAAGGTGGGAAGATTGCATTAAAGCCGATCTGAAGGGACTGGGTTTGGATGGCGAACGGTGGAGGGAGGTGTGTAATAAGCGATTGGTGGTGTCGGCATCGAACCTTCGGGTTCGCTAAGCCTTTTATTACTATTACTATTACTAGAAACCTGGCCAAGAAGCTAAATATTATCAATCTCCTTTCAAGCTGCTCCCATAAAAAACTATGACCTGACATAGGCATGTGCATGATTCGCAGGAGTGTAAAAGGACCCTTACATGGTCAATATCGAATATGTTGTCCGTATAAGAGAAATTTCAGTTATAAAGTTCTTTTGGGCTAAAATTAAGTTTTCTCTAATTCCTACGAGGTTGATGCCGAGGTTGCGAGGTCCGAACTCCAAAGCAGGCTCGGTCTGACCTATAAGGGGTTATTTTTTTAACTTCTAAATTTACATTAAAATGAAAAATAGAAAATATGTCGTAATTTATACAATAATCACGTATTACTTTTACATAATATTTTTGTCACATAGTTTATAAAAGGCTTCGGTTGGGTACCATTTACATCATGCTAATCATTTCTATAATTCTTTCCAAAACAGCTCGATGGTGTATTCGAAAGGTAGTTTTGCATTCAAATTCATTCTTTCGCCATTCAGTTTTTTATTTAACCGATTCTGTTCAGTTTCATTGAATGTTTTATATTCTCTACGAATTTGATTTTATCTTACAGACTTTTTCTCCAAGTATATAATTTATTAGATTTCTTGGTTTGACAACTCTCCCGTGCCTACTGCTCTCTACACTTAAAACTAAGTAAGTTATTATTTTTAACAGGGTTGTAGATTCATTGCTTGAAATGTATGTTTTTTTGGAATCTAGGTTGTGGCTTATCTATTTTCAAACTTTCTGTTCTGTATAGTATACGCGGCAGTACATGTCTCTGTTTCTAGGGAATACCATTTCATTTCATTTGTTCACCAAGATACTGATCTTCCAAGCCTGCTTCATCTTCATTACTTTGATTTGACGAATACTTATACAGATGCCGATTCATTGCAAGCTGTCTTGGGCACAGGCGGATCTACGGGAAGAGAGAGGGGAGGGAGCTTTCAGCCTGAAGCTCCCCTCTCCCAAAATGGTAATGTGTTACCATGTTTTATGGTAAAAAATATTTTAAAAATATCTCTTAAAGTCCGTGTAATCACATGCAATAGGACTTGAAGAATCACTTAAATACCATTTAATATATGTAGTATCTTTTTTTTTTTCCAAAGTTATTGTTATATATATATGAAAAAAAAGCTTTCGGGCTTAAGTCCCCTTCCCCCCAAATGAAATCCTGGATCCGCTAGTAGTCTTGGGGGCGAATGTTATTGTTGCTATCAAAGAAGTATTCGCAATTCGCGTTGCAAATTCATCTTTAATTACCTGTAGGTCTGCAGGGCCAACAATGGTCCCTTCATTATCACCCTCGTCTGATCAGCTAGTCTTTGTGCTGTAACTTTAATTTCAGGATATTTTTTATAGTCAATAACCTTAGACTCTTCCAATGTATCCTGTTCTATATTAGCAAATTAGTACACTTTGTTGTAGTTAAATAGTACACTAATATGCTTTGTTCACTTCAGACGTCCATTTCATCCTTATAAGAGTTAATCTCGGTCTCTTTTTGAGCACGAGCAGTTAGAACATTCTCTTCCAAAAGCGAGTTCAGATTATGGGTCGTTTAATGATGCAATCTTATTGCCAGGCTCATTTGTTATTTAACACCAAACTGGTGTTGGGGAGATTGCATTTTATACCTAAGCCGCCCACTATGGAATCCGTCGCGCATGAAATTACTATTGTTCCATCCAGGATATTTTACTTACCTGGTACAAACCACATCTGGTGAGTGTATTCCTCTATTCACCTCTTGAGGGGGCGCCCAACGGGAGACTAGAAACTTCTCACGGGCCTCTTTTATTTATAATTATTTTCCGTACTTTTGAATATTTCGGCACGTTTATTCTTAGGTTTTAATTTATGAATATTATGTTGATAATTTAATGGAGAAAGGAGTATATGGAAAATCGCAAATAAAAAACGGACGACCGGCAAAATGACGAAAATTCAATGAATACGGAAGAAGCTCTAAAATATCGGGTGGTTTTGATAAATTTTACAGGTGTAAATATGATACCATCTTGTAAAATATCTGAAAATCGTATTAAAAGAAGAAGACATGCTGGTCACTTGGATTTGTCTACAAATGTACACAGGTTCCCAAACTAGGTGTTGCCTGGCTACTAGATACTATTAATTTTAGGAGTTCCAGTAACTCCAGCATAAATCCTCTCTGGTCCAGAAGTACAACAGAAACAGTGAGGAAAGAAAAAAAACAAAAACTTGTACCTTGATGTATAAAACTTAAATTGGGAGTGTTAATTTTGGTTTATGGACACAATTTTTATTTCATCTCAAGCAGAAATACAAAGCATACTACCTTAGGTAGTTTGGAAGGAAAATATTACTCAGAAACTGTCCATAGGTTCACTTACTGAATCAGGAATAAAATCTATTCCTTGGGAATGGTTTTCTATGTCTCAAAAATAAGTCCATCTAGTGTAAAGATGTATTAATATATTTACCTGATAAATAATATGGTGTAAAATAAACTTGTATGTACTCTATAACTAAAGTGATAACTGGCAAATAATAAAAAATGTTCCAGAATAAGATTAGCTCAAATAAAAGACTTTCAATTTTTCAATTAATTTTGTCTTGCCAATGGACATTAAAACAAGAAAGGTTTTTAATGAAACAGCAAATGCATACAGCTTTACTTTTATTTTTTATCGGTCTTCTGAACATGCATACTTCTTTCACAATTTATTATATGAAGAAGAGACTATTCCGACAATTTTTGAGTATTTATTTTTAGAAATATGAATGATTAACTCCTACTTATTGTTATCTCTTCATATTAATACATGAAAACTGGATGTTTTTTCTAATTTTTTTAAATAACATGTATGTACAATTAATTTATACATTAAACATTGAAAAATATTATATTTGATAACAATGCTAATAAAAATAAGTAGCCATTTTAACTGAAAGTAGATGATGGGCATATATAAGTAAAAAGAAAGTTTTCAAAAAAAGAGAGTTCTCAACCATAAAAATAATATCACTAAGTCATAAATAAAAATTTGTTAACAGGTGCAAACTTGAATTTATCCTTTCCATTTCTGAGGTTATCTAATTTAATGATAATGTGCAGTTATTTAATAAATTATAATCAACAGAAAACATTATACAGAAGTATATGAAAGATTTGAGTTTTATGAATCACGGGAGGAAAATGAAGTAAAATAAATGCAACTTGGTTTCCTATGAAGTAAAGAAGACTGCAATAAAATTGAATCATAATTTTTTAGCAAAGCTATTAATTAAATAATATCCTTTTATTATTTTGTGAATTAGGTAAACAACAGATATGAGCCTATAGCCTTATTAAACTTAAGAAGGACCCTTAAAATGAAATTATGTTAGTATTAAAATGCCTTTTTAATAAAAATGAAGTGAAAGTAAGAAAAGTAATTAATTATATTAATTTTTATAAATAAAATTATAATTTTAATTTACTTACATTTTTTAAATTGACTAATATTTAACTAACCGCTCTTATAAAAGGTAGCTAGTTATGTTCCTGTACAAAAAGTATTCTATATTTAAAATAAAATGAAGGGTGTCATCTACATTGATTTAAATAACAGGAGGTAAAAAAAAAAAAAAAAATTAAAGAAGGTGACCTAGGACCAGGAATAGCATGAGATTAGGAAACTTAGTAAGAAAAAAATAGTAAATCTAAATGCAGTGATACGAGACAGGTTGAGAAAAACTCTCCTATAAACAAATGAAAACCATGTCATAATGTCTTTGTAAAAAACAAAATAAGTATTTAATATATACTTATACAATAAAGATTAAGTATTGCATAAAAGTATTTACTAAAAATAATTAAACTTAACTTACTGCCTTCAGTTTCAACATTAAATAAGTGAAAACTTAAAATATATTTTTTTTCTTTTGTGACAAACACAACTATTTAAGAAAGATCTGATCTGATTATTATCTTGAAATAAGCAGTGGTAACAAAATTTTAATCACACTTATTTTGGTTCATTATACACATATTATTTACAAAAGAACAGATGGTATTGTAGGGTGGTATATTGTCACTTATCCAACCTTGAAACAAAAAAAAATTCTGTGCAAAAGTAATAATAAGAATCCGTTAACTAAGAATGTTAATACAACAGTTTGGAAGGATGATATGAAAGTTTTATAAATAAAACAGTGTTCATCTTCATAAAACATACATGTGGTTAAACAAAATAAATTATAAATCTAATTTTATTTTATATGAAGATGGGTATTAGTAATGAAATTATAAATAATGAGTTTATTTTCATAGCGAAATATTTCATAAAGTCTTAAGAAATTTTGTTACTAATCATTCAATGAAGTGAAACACTGGAATCATTTAATATTTACTTGATAAATGAAAAAGTAATAAGAATTTATTAATTTTCTCAGTCGAAAAGAAAGAGTAAAAATCACAGGTAAATATAAACATGAAATCTACAAAGAATTAACATATTGATCATACATTACAAAAAAAAAATAATAACAGTTAATAATTTAATTATTTCATCCTGATGCTAATACATAGATAAACTACCTTTTGAAAGGCCTACTATTTAGTCTAAATATAGTTGACTATACTGTTTCAGGAAAATACAACAGGCAAGTAGGGTAACATTTTTGTTTAAAATTTAAAACAGCTTGATAAAGGATAGTTATTAATAAAAAAAAATAATGATAAAAGTGATTACTAACACAAATATTGCACGCACCATATAATAATGTATGAATTTTCAGATTTTTAAAAATAATGTTTTAAATATATGAACATCGCATTCATAGTAATAGAACAGCCAAGTGATTAAATGACTTGATTATATAAAAATACCAATTACGGATACATTCATGAACTTTGATTATGAGCCTGAAAAAAAAAAAAAATGTTTTACATTATAAATGATAAATTTTGAAGTGATTCAATTTATTGGAGTTAAATAGAAATATCCAATTTTAACTCAACAAAGGATTTTAAGAATGATTTATGATAATTAATGAGAACAAATAGAATAAATATTTTAAGGAAGATTAAACTTCAGTAATTTTATACCTACATTCTTATCTAAACCACGATAGAAGACCACATTGCAATAATAAACAAAGTCCTAAATTTTATATAAACAGTTACAAATTGGTCTTTTTATACATGAGAGTATGAAATATATTAACAATGTCTACACAATTTTACATAGTTTCTGATTTATAGTGATATTAACAAACAATTTTATTATAGACTTACCAGTCATAAGTAGTAGAAAATAATTTAGCAAAAACTTTTACAATACAATAATAATACTAGATATAATTGGAAAATAAATTAACAAAATTATGAAAGCAATGCGGCATTGGACAACCACAGGGAATTGAATTATCAAAAATGTTCCCTAAAATGTAAACAACAATCTATCTCTTTGTATCAATGAAGAAATAAAAAATATATCCTCTTAATATTTGAACTTTTCGAAAGAACAAATGAAGTTGGGCTTCAAAGGATCTCTTGTCATAGCGCTGCTACAACAAAGCTTTCCCATGGTCTCCATTATAGAGCCCTCATCACTTCAATGTTGCCTGCAAGTGCACAGAAAACACATTAAAATAAGATGCAAATTAAAAAATACAACTTTAGGGATTAAATACTTAAGATGGCTTACTATGGAATCCATTAATATAATTAGACGATTATATTAATATGAGATCAATGAGGAATTTTAAATGTTCTGAAAATAATGAGTATCCTGATTGGTTTTTTTTTTTCATTTCACAGAGAAACGACTAATAATTTATTTAAACTATTCCTCACATTCATTTATTGATTTCATTCAAGAATGGGAAAATAATACAACTAGTACATGAATGCTTATTAAGCTTAAGATGAGGCAAAAAGACATTTTAGATAAGTTACACAATGTTCTGTTTAGTCTATCTCCAAGCCCACTTCAAAGAACAATAAATAAGGGTCACTTCTCAAAAAGTTGTATTTTCATTTAACCAACTACAATGTTAGTTAAATAGTAAAGAATCATTAATTTATTTTATACTTACAAAATAAAAACTGAATGTAAAATGAAAATATATATAACTTAAGATTGATATCATTTATAAGTAAACTATATTTATAGACAAACAGCTTCAGGAAGGTCCTTGTGGGTGGAGTTTAGACTACGGGATTATGCCTTTTCAAATATACCATCAGGAATATTTTTTAAACATTTTGATTTGTAATATATTATTCCAATAGCGTGCACTAATTCATAAGTTGATTGTGATATTGTTATTTAAATAGCAAAAGGTTACATGCACACCACTAAAAGATTCTTCTTTAAGTTATTTACTTATAATTATTTATTAACAAACATGTGAACCTGAAGACTTAGCATGAAATCCTATTTGGTTAGCATTCATTTAAATCATAAAATAAAAAGTAATGTGTTAATAAAAACAATGCCAACACAAATATAGAATATATCATTGTAGAACTGCCTAACAAAAAGGTTTTGATTTTTCGTTATTTTATGATTGCCTAAATTTTACAAATAACAATTATTTTTCTGCCTAAATTTTACAAATAACAATTATTTTTCCAATCAATTCTATATCACTTGCTCGTATTACTTTAAAAAAAACTTATCTAAATAAGATTAAAATTAATTGTTTACAATTTTTTTTGTTTCCTCAAAAAGTTGTGAATTGATAGTTATGAAATTTCACATTGAGATTGATTGCATTAATATATAGTTGATATTCATATAATACAGTGAACCATATTACATTAGGGGAGAACAAACCAGATGGATGGTTAAACAGATTGCATCATGTTTTTTTCTAATAATGATAGTATAAAAAGCCACAAACTTAATAATATCTTTATCTAGTAACTTAAAAATAAATATGCCTGCAATAAAGCTGCTTATTTAGTAATATTTTTAAAAATAACATTGCATTTTGTTCAAACTACTCACCTTAAGCAATGCATTTTTAAAATATCTCTGATTGTGGGTTGATGGTTGAATGTAGTGAATAATTGAAGAGGATGCTGGGGGTGATCAGTTAAAATAAAAAATAGTAAAAATAAATAATTATATTTATTTTTATATTTTCCTAATAAAAATAAATATAATTATACTGATCACCCCAAACACCCTTCTCTTCAATTAAAATTTCTCTGATCACCACTAAGGCAACTAAACCATATAATTTAGTTCCATGGCCTTCTACATTGCTTTTGTTTAACTTACAGGTGTTTTTCCTTTATTATCAACACTATTTTGTTAATTCAAATAATCATTTAACTTGTTTGCCTCTTAATGTTTAAGTAAAAATAAGTTTGCTCTAATATATCAGGTGTGCGAGTGTACAGAGTACAAAACTGAGGCTCTGACTGACCATTTAATAAGTATAATAAAATATAGAATAAGTCTTGTTCAAAATATTAGAACCACAAACATTAATTGCCTTTGATATTGAAAAATTAAAAATATCTGATACAAGAAAGGAAGATATGAATGGACTTATTAAAACAGATAAAAAAGATACATTAAAAATTCAAAGCTACTCAGAGATCAGTGGATCTTTACAGAAAATTTCAGCAATGACTAAGAAATTCTGAGATAGAGAGCTGGGCTATTAAGAACAGACGTACAAAATAAACTCAAAAAGCAAATCCTATATGAAAAATGAAATTGTGGTAGATTTAAGTTGTGATGGCTGGACGATGTGGAGGCAGAATTGTCACTCAGGAGTGAAGAAGATTAGTAGAAGTTTGGACCTGATTGTTATCAGGGACAGAGCATATAGGGTTATTAGATCAATATGAAGTTCTTTATATATATATATATAAATTGTTACAATATATATTTTTTCTATCAATCATATTTTTTAATCAAAATAACCTTTTTTGAATTTTTACTGTACTAAATAAAATTTAATAAAAGAAAATACAGCTTCAAAAAATATAATTATACAAAACTCTCATAGCAACAATAACTATCATGATTTGATTAAGATAGGCTATCCACCTCTCTCTGTAGATTCGCCTGATCACTAATAATTACCGGGGCCCTACGATCAAATTGTAAGTGATATTGATTAGAAAAACAATCAGAAATTAAATTACTTAAAATGTACTAAGTTAAATACTTCAAATATACTAATAGAGATCGTGATATAATATGAGGAGTTGGTCGGGGGGTGCAGTTAAGTAAATACTAAATTTTTAAAATAATATTTATAATTAAAAATTTAGTATTTACTTGATCGCAACCCCTGACCAACTCCTTTTCATAAAATATACCAAGTTAAAAAATTTAATAGTTTCTTAAGATTATAATTAACTAAGCAGCAATTTAAAAGAATAAATCACTGCACTTATAACATACAAAAGGAGATAGAGAAGATGCACAAGTAGAATATTACTTGTACAGCTACACCAATATAAAGCTCATACAAATTTCCAAACTCGATTTAGAGGGAATGTAGAGTTGTGCAAATTCTTAAAACTGAGAAAAACCTTTTGAATGAGCCATAATTTTGACTGAAATTTATCCTCACAACTGCGGCATTGTTCTGCCAATAAAGTGTCACTACATATTGAATTTCATCAACACACCAAGAAGCAATACAGACAAGTAATATTACAGATGTTGAAAATTAACGAGATTTGAGGAATGTGTCTTAGTCTGTGGGCCAGACCCCCTACCATGCCTTCCTTCTCCTCCCTCCCACATCCCTTAAGTTGTTTATCATTGTGTTCCTTATAACTATTTATTACAAAAAAACCAATGTTCCCACAAAAAAAAAAAATAAAAAAATGAAAGCACTGTACCAAATTGGCGTCCAAACAGGGAGGATTGAATTGAAGACTTTGACTTGAGTTAGTTTTTCAGTCACTGAGATTCAGCATTTGGCTGAATTTTTCATAATTGGCATTTTATTAAATCTAGATAAATATTTGATTGGATAAATATAACATAAAAAATATATTAAAATAATTGGCCTAGGCATTAAAAAAACACCGGTAAAGTCAATTTTTTCAAGTCGTTCAAACTACAGTTGAAAATCAAGCATTGTTTGTAATTAAACAGCCAACACTAATGCAAACACCATGAAATAAAACATTTCTTTTTATAAATCAGTGATTAATTTTTAATATTTGAAACGGTTCCTTAGAAAATGCACTTGATCAACAGAAAAACGGTACTGGCCGGCCTTAGTGCCTGTATTCGGTACTCATAAATGCCATAGTTATAGTGTTATAATATTTTTGGTACATTATTTTGATTTTATTAAAGAACAAATATTAATGCAATAATTTAGTTATCCAAAACCATTATAATCCATTTTTTTCATACCCTATATAGAAAACGTTTAAGACGACCTCTATTGCAAAAATTATATAATTGTAATAATAAACCTTAATTCACTAATTCTTAGCAATTTAACATTAGTTTGTATATTTATTGATTTTTAAGGGTTCGTTAAATTGAATGTATTTTAAAGAAATTCATCATATTCAATGAATCAATCTGTTTTATAAACCAAAATATATACTTAATCTGATTACAAATAACGAATAGTTATGGAGTGTCAAGCAAAAATCATGTATCAATAATAAAAAATTAATTTAATTTTTTAAATTATATTTTTACTTCTTTCATTTCATTCTGAGGTTGTGCCATATAATAAAAAAACTACACAATTTTTATAATAAATGCTTTAGTCTCCGCTCATAAATAAAGATGGAAAGAGAGAAAGATAAATTTCCTTATAAGAATCCAAAAACTGTTGGAGGTATTTAGTATCAAAATGTGAAAGTGAACTAGGAAATCGGAAACATACATTAACGAGGATAGAACGGCCAAAATATCTGAAAAGAAAACGAGAATAATGATGGAAGAAATAGATAATAGACAGATGAAGAGAGGATTTCATCATTGTACTTTTAATGAAATTTACTTCTAATGAAAATCAGGAATTTATAATGGCTGTAAGATCTAGGTAAACTAACCTATCTAGTATTATGATTAGTATCCCCATCATTTTGACCTCAGTATCCCCTCCACTTCTCGTGATTGATTTCTGGAAATCCGCCAGACAGATCCATCAGTACTCAACCAGTTCCTTACACAATCAATCGGAACATCAATAGTGCCTCGGAATGCAATTCTGAATAACCGTGTAGGGTCAAGATATAATTCTTCCTTGCTGAAACCATCTTCATCAGAATAAAACTTTATCATCCACTGCTTTTCATCCAAACTGACCCAGCTCCACGAAATATATCTTCATCGTTCTATTAAATATTCCTTCCGTCGTATAATGTTTCTATAATTATTCTTGCTTTCTTTTCAAATATTTTGGCAGTTCTTTCCTCGTAAGCAGAATCTCAGTGACCGAAAAACTAACTTAAGTCTATGTCGTCAGTCCACCATGTTTGGGAGAGTGCGTTTACTCTTTTTGTGGGAACATTGGCCTTTTTAAATAAATAGTTACAAGGAATACAACCATTTGCAATTTATAGGGATGTAGGAAAGGGGAGGAGTGAAAGGTAGGGGGGGGGGCGGTCTGAACCACTGTGTATCTAGACTTTTCTAGAAAGTTCCTGTAGGCTATTTAAGCACAATGCGATCAGGTGGCAGTTGAAAAGTAAGCCGTTCATCTGTAGTCCATAAGTTAGTTTTAAGCTTCCAGTCCAACAAAGTTAGTTGCATTCTACCAATGTTGGTAAATAGTAATTTAAATTGTAATTCATTAATAAAATAATAAATAGATCAGTAAATTTAATTATTTTTGTTAATGTAAAAATAAATGCATAAAAAATGTTATATTATTATTTTGTAATTATATTTGGCACCCAAACAGGGAATCTTAAATCGTAATATTTGGGATCCAAACAGGAACCGAAAAAGGTTTTATTGTAAGTATATATTCCTTTTTTGACTCAAAAAGGATTCTGAAAAGATAATATTATATTCTCTAATTTATTTTATTGGAGTTACTCAGGTAAGGTAGGTTAGATCATAGAGGACGACACATCTTGGCATATTTAACATTAAAATGGAGTTAATGTACAATGAAACGTCTTAAAATTAATAAACTACGAATATTAAGAGAATAATAGGTGTTTATTTTAACTTTAGGAAAATCAACTAATAAGATAAAAGTATATAAGATTGAAAAATTTTTAGTTAGTAAAAAAAAGATTACTAGCATATGCCCTAACAAAGCTATTTGGGTGGAAAATTGACATATAAAAGAAAAAAAAATATATAAACAAAATTTTATTAAATAATGTAGTTTACAAGCGCTCATACAGTAAAAAAAAGAAGGAAAAAAATAATCACGAATTATCAATTAAACCTAAAAATACCTAATTTAGTGTCTATTGACCAAGTTAGACAGATATAAAAATTCAACAATTCTTTTAACTACTATATCAACATATTTATATCAATTTCAAAATCAGTATGGATTTATTTATAAGTAAAATAGAAAGAGAGAGGTTTGTCCTCGTTACCTATTATTAAAATCTTTTGTTTTCATAAAATTAATTTTTTTTTAAATTATAGAAACTGTACACAGGCAGTAATACTTTATTTACAGTAGAAGAAACATTGTAACTCATACTTTTTTTTAAAAAGGCAAACAAAATAGGTTTTTGTCATAAAAAAAAAATAAATAACTTAAAGAATTAAACAACTCTTATTAGTTTCTTCTTATACATTCATGCACTGAATACTGAACCTTCTGACAGCATTATGCAATTACTGTTCATCATCATTCACTTCTTAACTAGAGCACCCTCGCCTTTTTCTCTTTCTAATGTTTCTTTTTTCTTATCTTTTTTAATAACGACATACTCATATCAATAAAAAGGAAGATCAGTTATGACATAAAATATATAAATACATATTTTTTAATAAAGATATAAAGTTCTCTACTTTATAAAGGATTCTCCCGGTGCTTCCGACGGCATTCCTTGCTTTACATACCTGACAACAAAAAGAAAAAAAAAATTAACATCACAATTAGTTCAATTTTCATTTTAAATATAACACAATAAAACAATATTTAAAATAGAATATATTCAATAAAAATCTAATATTTGCTATTAACTGTTCCAACTGCTGTCGGCTTTTCTAAAGAACAAATGATTTCACATTTTACTTGGAAACAGTAATTAATCTCTAATTGATTACATCTAAGCTTGTCATATTTTTACTTTCACTTACTTATGTATGTAATATATAGTAAGGAAAAATATTGCGATCGTGAAAATTTTCGAATCTGAGTTTTCAACAGAAATAAACGTTTTGAGGTTCCCTGAGTCTAAATTACCGTTTTGAGGTTCCCTGAGTCTAAATTACCAAGTCCTGCAAAATGCTGTGTGTGTATGTATGTGGTGAGTCTAGCACAAAAACGAAAAGTCGTACAAAACTGCTATGTGTAATTAAGATAGGTATATGCCTCAGATGTGACAACTTTTTCATTAAAATCGACTAACCGGAAGTTGCACTTTATATCAACAGTTTTTGTTACACATTGTACACCATTTTTACAATTTTCTAAAAAAACAGCTCCTACGATTTTGATTAAACTCGGTGCATTATCGTATAATTAAATGGTCTTTAAGACTGAAGTCTCATCCCCCCCCATTGATGTCACTTTACAGGGCTTAAATGTTTGACATGTCTTTATGTAATTTGGTACCATTAATTTGGTTTATTTTAAATAATTAACCATCTCTCATTATTAAAAGAACACTTTTGAAAGAATTTGATAATTGGAAAAAGGGAAAAATGAATTTTCGGAAATACTAGTCAGAAGATATACGTATAATATATCATTGGAAAGGGGAGGATTTAAAATATATATATATATATAGTATAGTATAGAAAGTAATTGAGAATGATGAAAAATTATAAATAATAATTTGTGAAAACTAATATTTGTGAAATCGCATTTTTCCAAGGAAATTAAATGATATTTACTAACTAAATATAAACTTTTTTAAGTTAAAAAAAAAGTACTTAAAATCCACCTAATCAAGGCAATAGCATTAATTAAAAAACTCATAGCACTTATTACCACACTCCTCTTATGACGTACTGATGCCTTCAATAATCAGTGTAGTATTTTTAATCCAGCTTTACTTCTTCCTACCTCTTTGGGCAATCGATCATCCAGGCTCGACACAAAATATCGATTGAGTTTTTTAAAATAGGTGATATAAAAATATATAGTTTAAAGTGATAGAAAATTGCAGTTTAGTCTCTAACATAAAAGATGGGCAATTTTCACCTAGCAGCATAACAATTGTCTGGGCCCCGATATATTGTATATTGTATTATTTGTGCTGGAGAAGCAACTCTTTTAAGTTTTTTGTTAATTGGCAAATATAATTTTATTTTTCATTTACAAAACTTAACCTTTTTTTTCTTTATTCTGCACTTAATTTTTCTCCAGTTACATTTCTCATTTTTTTGTATAACATTACTTTTCTTATTTATTTTTGTTAAATTTTATTACCCATAGCTTTTGTATTTTTTTTCCCAAAAATTAAACTGTACATTTCTATTGTTAATGGTGTATTTATTGAGTAAACCTACCAGAATCCCTTAAATACTTATGTGAAAGAAGTAGTGAAATATAAAAATATTTCATAGGTATATTAAGCATATGTTTATAACTTTAAATACATTTACTGTAGTTGAAATAACTCTATATCTGTTATTTTATTTAAATCATTAGGTATCAATGTCTGTAACCTTTTAAAAAATTAAATTAGGGAATAATTTGATGAATTTTCCCTTTGTGAAAACTAAACATTATTGGCTTAAAATTAGTGGAAAATAACAGTTTAATAACTTATAGGCGTACAATCCATTATCATTTATATACAGGTTGAATACAGAAATACACTTTCAAATCTTTCTAGGCATATATATATTAATCACAGACTGGAGTTATGTAGTCTACAAAAACAGATGGAATACCCAGGTTTTTATTATCTACTGTTGATATAATTAATAGGGTTATTTTAATGTTGTTAATGATTTGTTAGCTGTAAACTTTAACCTATAGCTCTGTTAAAAGTGCACTTCAAGAATTTTATAATTGCTCAACATTGCCAGAAAATAATTTATATTAAACGTAGAAAGGTAACTGAAAGTTGTGTGTTGATTTTTTTATTTTATGAATATTACAATTTCTCTGTTTAGTATTCAATTATAGAGGGAGTAGCCACAGAAAAAAAGATGTAATTAAAAAGCTAGTTGCTAAATCAAAAGTTAATACAAAGTAAGATAAAATGAATTTAACTATTTACTTTAATATAGAGGTGAGGAGTTGAAAAGTCATCTTTACAATATAATGATGGATATATAGCATACCAAGTAAATCTGTACAGAATGGTAAAAAAACAATATGTCCAATGAACAAGCAGGGTGATGTGGTTGAGTGAATAATTACTAATATATCTCATTATTATCCTGTACCTTATTCTTATTGTATTTTAAAGAATATTAAATCAAAAACTGTGGAGTAGGGATGTCTCCTCTTTGATTTAGCTTTAGAGAAGTCCAATAGAGATTCTGGTATTCAAGTGGGCGGAACAGTATTCAGCCGGACAGTGCAACTTCTTGCTTATGCAGATGATATCGACATTGCCGGACGCTCTATCCAGGCAGTCTCTGATGGATTCTTGAAACTAGTAGAAGCGGCAAGAAAAAATGGGGCTTAAAGTCAATGCTACAAAAACCAAACATATGGTCACTGAGGAAAATTCCAGAGCAGGCGAAAAGATTACCATAGAAGAATTCTCCATTGAAAAAGTGTCGGAATTTATTAATCTCGGATCCCTCATAACTCATGATAATGTGCTATGTGCTTATCGTCATTATGGCCTTAGTCCATATTTTAAGAGCTTAACCAGAGGAACAAAAATCCTATTGTATAAAACAATTATCCGACCAATACTCCTTTAAGGCTCAGAAACATGGACTATTTCCAAAACTGACGAGCAGAAACTAAATGGTCTTTGAGAGGAAGATCTTGCGTAAGATCTTTGGAGTTGTGGAAGTCGACCAGTTATGGAGATGTCGGACAAACCAGGAGCTCAAAGATTTGTTTAATTGTCAAAGATTGTGCGTCGCTCAAATGGCTGAGAATCACATTTTGAAAAAGATCATGACAGAAGTAATGCACGGAACAAGGTGTAGAGGAAGACCTCAGCTTTGGTGGAGTGATGGTGTGGCTGGTGATGTCAGGTCCATGTTGGGAGTGAGGAGCTGGATGGCGGCTGCACAGGATAGAAACAATTGGTGGAGGGTGGTACAGGAGGTCAAGACTTGATATCGAGTTGTCATGCCGACTGAATAGAATAAATCAAAAATTTCTTCCTTGGGCAGAACTTATTGAGGCCTATTGTACAATTTATAAGCCTTTAGAGAATTATTAGATTTTTTCATGAAACTTTGCATATGTTTGTTCTTTTTTTTTTTTTTAGATTTTGGCTCAGGGCACGTCGATCCCTGAAGGATCTATTGTGTGCCAATTAAGTTATTCGTTTATCATCAAAACGTTATTTTTGCTGCTTCCGCGTATCAGTATTAGTAGGCTGGTTGGATTGACCGTCTCATATCTACTGGGGAGATCAATTCGTTCCTCCCCAAATAGTTTCAGTTTCAGCTTTGCGAATCTATCACATCCATTGACACACAAAGTGAAAGGCTGACAGAATCTGCATAGCGGATTCATCGTTACTCGGAAATTTAAAATATGATAATTTAGCTTACAGTGGCCTGTATAGATCGCTGTAAGCTTTATAAGAGCTGCTCTGCCCATAATCAGTAGCATGTTTGTTCTTCCTAATCCCTAAGTGTTAATGTCGCTCACCTAGACGAACATTCCAAAATTTTTATTGGCTGTTGTGTCCAAATCAACAGGAGCTTCTTTGCACCCAAGCGCAAGTACTTTACTGAACATCTTACTCTCAGAAGTTCATTATAAAAATCTGGAGCAGTGTACGCATCACACAACTTTTACTTACCACCCTACTTAAGAACTACTACATTATTTTCTCATAATGTGAAATGTAAGTAAAAAATATATATATATTTTTTTCTTTTGTCCCCTCCCTCACCTTTTCAGCTATAGGGTTTTTTCTCAGGGCAGGCGAGAAAAGATTAATGCCAGAGTTAATTGACTACCGGCACTGGGATTCAAACCCGTACTCTTCAGGTTAACAGATTGCCAGGCAACATGTGTTTTGCGAACGCATTAATCCGCTCAATCAATATGCCCAATTAAAATTAAATATTTTAAACGGTGTAACATATTCATTTAAAATAATTAATTATCATCTGTTATTTAAATAAATCCGATCTGCTTAGTTTATGAGTTTTCCATCACTATCCATTTCCTTGTATATTTTATTTATTTATTCAATTATAAGAGTGTCAGATAGTTCACTTAGTATCTTAAGTGCTGTTAGTAATTAATTAATAACTTAATTTTTTTTTATAGCAAGAATGTTTGGAAATCACCGGTCTATAACATAGGTGGGAAACTTTTTATACTATAATATAGGAGCATATGCTATCCTTATCTTTGATATAGTATATTACGCACACTTGGAAGTAATTGTAAACTTTCAACCATGCTCAGACATTCTCGGTGGTTCTCCGCAAATCCATATAATATAATTTATAGGCATGTTAGATAAGATTGTCTAAATCAATTAAAAAAATATGCTCACAATAACCAATCCGATTAAAAAACAATTTCAGTTAGTTATTTTAATTAATATACAAAAATTATTGTTTGCATACTTCTTTTAATATTCTTTGCAATCGTTCTTAAAATATCCAGATTAGAATTTTGAAAAACAAACTTTAAAAAAACACAAATACAGTATTTCAAGTTCTACTAATTACACAGTTTAAATAATTTAAAACTTTTTTTAAAAGTAATACTATTATCAAACTTGATTGCTGAAGTATTGGTAATAAATTAAGAAAAATTATAGTCACAGTATTGGTTATAGAATTTCCATGTTTCTAAAACTATTATTTACTTAAAATATAACATTAAAACAAAAACAGATAAACAAAATTATCAGTATATTTATTTCATCTGTTAAATTTATAAAAATAAATGAACCACAGAAAACAATATTTTATTTCTTTAGTCTGTTAGCATTCAAGAGGGCATATTTACGGCCGTTGATCAATCTTGTATTCAAAGTTGACAGTAGAGAGAACTTACCCTGAGTGGCCTGGAAGGGTTGTTGGGGAGCCTGCGGGCGGTTGCCACCCCGTGCACCGCCCCCTCCCCTTTGGCCAGAACTTCCACTCCCGCCTACTGCAGCTTTCTGTTTCAATAATGACCAATCAAACATGTAATCATATTTGTGGTTCAATGTCCTAAACAGGATTGAGAATAGTTGGCGAAGATACATATAATCAGGCGCCTCTTCAAATTTTAATCCTCGACAATAATTGAGGTACATTCCAAATTCAGCAGGGAAGTCCTAAAAGAAAAAAAAAAACAGTTAGATGATATAACAAGACATTTTTAACTCTAAATTTTAACAAATGGCAATCATCAAAACACATATTGTATCATTCAAAAGTCTAACTATTGTAGTAAATAATAAATCATAAATAAAAAGTAGTAAGAATAAATGCATTTTTGATATAATAGATCTAGTGAAAGAACAGTTAATTTGTGGTCAGATATGCTGCTAATAACAAATAAATTTTCTATTGTAAGCCAACCTCAGATTATTATTCTCTTCTTTGAGGTTATCTATTTATGCATACACTCACATTTTTAGAATTACATCATAGCCGCACAAATATGGCAAGAAAAACAAAATGATAAATCTCAGCAATAACTAAGAACTATGAAATAATCCGTTGTTGCTGTCCTTGGCAATAGGACAAAATACAAGTTATCTACTAGTTGGGAGTCTATGTTTATAAACATAGACAATTTCCTTCTCTGTTTTATATATATAAATAAGAGAAGTTAATAATAAATTTGGATGAATATTAAACTAATTTTTGACTTTTTTTTTTGTTTATAAAATGACAAACTCTTCCTTTATTTCATTGTCTGGAATTTATCAGTTAGAAAATAAGAAACTGGTTGATTTGGGTATATTATGAGTTAGAACATTAACGATAGGGTGAGAGGATAAACAAATTCAAGTCTATTAATCATAATTTCCGATAAAATCTCAATTATAATAAAAAATCAACCATAGGAAAAACACAATTTATCCAGAATAATATGAGAAAAGCTATTATGGATAATGTGAAATTCACAATAAGAGGTGATTTAAGCAAAATTTAAAATTATTATTTATTAAAAAATCCCCCTCTGTGGTTATTTTACAGAATCCAAGAAGATGCAGTGTGTCACTATAATAATATTCAATGAAAAACAGCGAACAGTATACCATCGTAACACATCTTTCTACAAATATTTAAAAGAAAAAGAAATGAGAAAGGACCGCCAAGAGTAAAAAAAAATTCTTTTTGAACATTCAAATTTAATTTGTTCAAGTGAGTTAAAAAAACACTTATGTACCCTGGTAATAAAGTATGTAATTGATTTTAATATTTTGTCGTACGTAGTTTTCTAAAAAAAAAATCTATAATCCAAATACTCATATAATTAGTTTAGATTACAGAGATTGCATAGTATATATTAATGTTTGATTTGACTAAAATAAATACATAGAAAAATATTTTTCGAAGAGCATAAGAATTTCTAGAGTGTGGAAGCACTAAATTTTAAATCAAGAGGTTTTAAATCGGAGAGAACCTGCTGTTGTCAGATCAAATAAGATGCCATAGACTAAAATGTAGGGAGTGATCAAGAAGACTGCTAAAAAGAAGAGTCACATAGAAAAATTACACAAAGAAAGCGACCATAGCGCCAACTGGTTACGTTATTGACAAGTTACCAGATGGCGATGTGGCTGTTGTCCAAGTGTCTTTGTTTTCTCATGTGGATCTGCAATTCACTAGTCTCCTAGCTAGTCACTCTTACAGTTCTAGGCTTTGGACGTGAAGCAAGGAAAGCAAATAATTAATAATCAGTAAATGGGTAATACTTTCAAATGCGTGATTAATAGTAGCAGATTAAAAAAAATTTACCAACTTTTAAAGAGGAAATATCAATAAACTGATTTTAAAGTTAAATATTACCGATAGACTTACATATAGTTATTTTTTATCATGTCATACAAGTATAAACACATAATTTTCAATTACAAAAAAGGAATAAAATTCATGTTAAATAATAGTGAAAATCAGGGGTCTCCAAACTTTTTGGCCCACGGGCCACAATGATACTTCTACTAAGTTCTGCGGGTAGCATTTAGAAAACCGCTTAACTCGGGAAGAGGGTATCATGGATGTTGATGAAAAAAAAAAAATTCAATAAATGACACTTCATCAGTTGTGAAATGGGCTTTATAAGAGAAAAAACCCATACGCAATAAACGTTGTATTGACCTCTAGTGTGAGTAATTTGCTAAATTTAATAATATTTTAATAGTTCTAAAAATTTTACCATGCAAAAAATCTTTTGCAGGATAGATTGGAGTTGCATATGGGCCGTAGTTTGGAGACTCCTGGTGTAGATGATTAATGAGTACACCACTTTTATTAGTTATAACCAAGGCCCAGATTTGTATGCAGTAAAACCCGACCGAATATGGCATATAATAAGAAGTAAAAAACCCTGAAATATGCAGTAAAAAAAGATGAAAAATGCAGTAACTGTTCTCTATATATACTTAATGTACTAATTACTTGATTACTAATAGGGCAATAACGTATTTAAGTATAATGACAAGCCTACAAAAAGTTTAGAAACAAAAAGAAATTATGGGGGGGAGGGAACTGAAAACTACAATAATTTTATTTTTTCTTTATCTAAACTAAAGAATGAAAATAACTAAACATACATGGGTAATAAGTTTATAATATAAATTTATACATTATAATGGTAACGAAAACATAACATGAATCACATTAAAAAAATTTAAATATCGAAATAGTACAAAGTATATACAAGTGAAAAAAACAATCATCGTATTAACACATAAATAAATAAACATAGTAATAACAGATAACAGATATGGAACAATAAGTACGTAAATGCTTTAAAATATTGTATGTTAATGGATAAAAATCTAAAATGAGTATATGTTGAAACAATAACATAATTAAAAACTTGTGAAATAATAGATAAAACATTTGGAAAATGGGTTACTAGGAACTGGAGAACATCTATAAAGAGAATTATTAAAGGGTAGAGCAGAAGTTAGTTAGGTATACAGTCTACAAAGGTTATATTTGTCTATATTATATAGATTTGTTCATTGAAAATAAACCTAGGATAATCTTGAATTGCATCTTCAATATCGCATATATATATATATATATATATATATATATATATATATATATATATATATATATATATATATATATATATAGTTTATTTCTTTAAATTAATCAAAATATGCAATTATATGTATTTATCCTCAAATATGTATAATAAAATTTGGCTGACTGCATCACAATGTACTAATTGGTATAGATATTTGATCAGTGGTTAAAAATAATAACGCTAACAAAATATGCAATTGCCTAAAAATTCGGACCTTGGTTATAACATTACATCTTTACTTATAACATTTTATCATACACTAAAACCAGCTAAGAAAACTTTCAAAAGTGAAATCAATAACAAAATATTCATAGTGAATGCTGTTGTTACCTTGCATAAAGAGTCAACGGGTGTAGACATTTTCTTTTCACTAATTTTTTCATATTTTTGTTTTTTAGTAGCGGCCTGAAAAAAAAAATACACAAATATCAGTAACGTAATTTACTAAAGACGGAAAATCTTTTGACTTGGTATCTTTAAAGGGTTAAGCAAGTATTAACAATATGAGCATTGAAAATTAAGGACAAAACTATTTCATTAAAAAATATAGTAAACCAAAACAGTAGCAGTCAGAAGTGAAACAACACTTCTAAGAGAATTTTAAACCAATAGAAAACTCTGAATGTAAAAAATTGTAAATGTTTCAGGAGTTTCAGGGGATAAAAGGTAATCAGCTTCATCGCTAGAATGCATAGATTTCAATTTGAATTCATCAGTAAAGACTGGGTAAAACCAAGAAAAATGTAAAATGTTCTAGTCTTTCTCCATGCATGTTTGCGAAGTTGAACTAACCAAAAGTGGAGTCTTTATCACTTCTACTACAGTCCAAATTTTCACAATTTTTTTTTATTCCATATTAGGATAAAAGCTCTTTGCTTTTCCTTATAAATACGATAGAAATAAACGCCACTTTTAAGCTTAAAGAGTTTTTTATTTTAATAACTATTGAATACTTTGTATTACTTTCATATTTTCAATTTTAATTGTATTAAGCTCAATTTATACTCAACTAAGAGAAGCCTTAAAAAAACATTTGGAAGGTAAGTTTATCATTAAGTCTAGTACATACTAGTAGACATTGTAGTACGATTTGTCTATGGACCATCTAGAGATGGTCTCGAGACAGCGTCTATAGACACCATTCTCGTCTAGCGTCCCCACCATATGATGTAAGTTTTTCAGTCTGATCTTCCCAGTCCACCGTGGAGGACATAGTTTTGTGTAGAATGAGTTCCTGTGCTTAGTGCTAATTACACGTGAAAGAACGTGAAAATGCAAATGTTGGTGGATTTGCAAAGTGCTCCCAGAAGGACCTCGGTTCGCTAATGCACTATTAAATAAATTAAGACTGGGAGAAGCCATGGTAATCTTCAATTAGTTTTAAAACTTTCTTGTTAGACCACAAATTCTCGTCTCAGACACACCTCAGAGACCAAAAGAACTCTAAAACTTTGGAAAATAACAGCCGCACCAACCATTCTGTTGGTGGAGGCAGACTGGGACGTGGCTCGTCTTTAGACACAGAGTGACGTTCACACTTCCACAATGTTGCGCAACATGTCTAACATTGCATAATATCTCCCATTCTGTTCAGGAAACTTTAGACTTGCAATAGGCCTGGAGATGAGGATTGGTCTATCGACACATATCAGAGACCAAAATCACACATGTCTACTAGTGTCGACTAGGCTTTATTATGATTGAGGCAATATAGGAAAGAAATACACTGTATTATACTAAAAATTAGAGTTATCAGCTGGGATTCACTAAAAAATAAAACAATAATATTGATTTATTCTTTTTGGCAACCTTACTACAATATTAAAAAAGTTGAACTAATATTAATTTTATTATGATAAAATTTATGTTTACGGAAGAATATTACCCTAAACAATCAATGGAACATTTTTAGTTATGCAGGACAAGATTTACTGGCATAATATCTATGATAACTGACAATATTAAACAAATAAGTTGATGATCAGGAATTCAGCGAACAGACTAAGTTGAGAACAACAATGAGGTAGAGATACTAGACAACAAAAACTTTTCAAATGAACCTTTAGCCAACTTATAAAAAACTAATAATAAAATAACACCAAAGCTAGGCTACAGAGATTGAAGTCTTTCAACTTTTTGTGTATGCACTGTAAAGCAATATAATTCTCAGAAGAAAGAGTGGCTAATAAAATCTATAAAGACCTCTTCAGTGATCATAGTGCACTCAGTTACACGAAACTTCAATTTTCCCTTTTTTTTTTTTTTTTTTTTTTTTTATTTAATGACACCAACCACTTTCACAAGAAACAGAAACATGAACACATTCTTACCTTGAGTTTTATTCAATATTGAGGTGAACAGCGCAGTCAATGATGAGGGGTTACACAAGCGGAAAAGTTCATCATAGAATTAACTACAGTGGTACATTCCATTTAAAAATCTGAAGATTTAAAAAGGGAATTAGACAAAAAACAATTTACAGCATTTCTTCATAGATGCACCTGATCTTCATAAATGCATTTATTAATAATGATGTCTCCTGCAGAAAAGATTTGTGACAATAAATAGTATAATGATTTTATCTCCATAAAATGCGAATAAAGATGCAGATCTAAGGTGCAGAGTCCCGAGGTCACTACCATTATTCACCAAACAGGGCATATACACTAATACAGTATTAATATTTAACATTAAGCTTCGAAGAATAGAATTTAGCAAATATACGATTAATTATATATTTTATAAGTAATCATAATAAATCATATAATCATATATTATTATAAAAGGGATATGTAGCTGAAATTATATGATTAATCTATATTTAATGACATCACAATTAGTAGGCATGATTTTTATGTTCTTTATAGATAGTTTAATCTCACCTTAAGACCCTGCCAGGGAAGACTGCCACGATTAAAATACATCATAACATAGCCTAACGATTCCATATCATCACGTCGACTGAAAAAGATAAAAAATAAAATGAAATAATACTAATAAAATACTTAATCAGCTATGAAAGAATCTAATTATTAGAAACATAAATTAACAAACAACTAATAAAATAGATTATTGTTAGAATAAATCTACAGAACAGGCTTGGGAATATTTTACTCAATGAAATTGCTATATAATTTCAAATTACTTTTACAAAATTTATTTTTCATTATGATTCTGACATCCTTTCCTACTCCCATATTTTCTGAATAAGTTATTATAGATTTTGATGATGATATAGGGCTTTTATGCTTTTAATAAGTCTGTAGATATATATTTCAACACTTAAAAATAAGGCTTTTCAATCTTTTGTGGAAGAAGCAATAGTTATCTTCGCATTCACTGGTTTCCCTCCCTAGATTTAGAAACAACTTTACAACTTTCCAGAAACAATATATTTTCATCTGCATATTTACTGTTTTAAATCCATTCCTTCCTTTTTGGAATATTGTATCACTTTTGGAGAAACAAAGGATTTCCATCTAACTTCTTCCTTCTGCTATCTTTTTGCATGGTTCTAGGCAACATTTCTAAATCGTAGGTTTTTCTTGAAGTCTAATCACTTCCATAGTTCTTTCTTTAAACACTTTCTCTTCAGACTTCCAGTCTTGATCAACTGAGTGGCCCTCTGCAGCAAAGGGTTCGACTTTATTTTTCACTGCAAATAGGAATTAGGTTTTTCAATTTCAAGAATTTTAACATCCTTCTTTCATTCAACTGAATCCCTTTTGATGGATATGTTTCAGACCTTAGAATTTTTTTTAGACCATTGAAAGATTTTATTGAGTTCATTTGAAATATAGCTCTTGATTCTCTTGTGTATCAGTATTTCATTTTCGACTCATCTAGGTTTATTTTAAGTTTAATTCTTGAAGCATATGATTACAGACTACTTGTCTTATTTCATTCCATTCCTTGTTTTCGGGGAGTTTTGACCTGACGAAAGGCTTAAATTTGGGTTCTAATCCTGTTTTTCCATGGCTACTCACCCATAACTAATTTTGTAAAATATTTTCATGCCTGATCAAAAAACTTTTTCCTTACTACTTTCCTTCACTCAATAGTATTTATCTATGGTTAAATCAATGGTTTTGAACATGCAATATACTCATCATTTATGTAGGTGATTCAAAACTGGGCTTCCTTGACAAATTCAAACTCTAACTAAGCTAAGTTTGAGGATGGGTAGAGGGGGGAGAGAGATGTGCAGTGGCAAAACATTTTCCTGCCTATCCCCCACTCTTTTGTCTTCTCTACTCATTCATAAGTACTACTAAATTTTTGTTTACAAGTAGAAATTTCTTTTATAATTTTTTTTCCATTTCTTTTTCTATTTCCTACATTAATATACAGAAAGATAGGCTGTTTATATACTGCGATTCATTTGATTCGAATTAATACAGTACAGTGTAAAATAATACATAATGTGGACAGTTCTCTTCTCTTTGTTTACATTCAGCAGTAAATGAAAAAGACTCCTCATTACTGAATATCCGATAACGTAGTATCACATTCTTTTTCTGTTTTATATTTTCCATTTATTTCTTGATTTTTTTTACAATCTATTTCTTGGTAAATTTAGATATACAGATCCTAAGTAATAAAACTAATAGTGAATATACATCAACAATAGAATATTACCTTTGTTCAATACCCAGATGGGCATTGATAGAAGCATATCTTGCAGTTCCTGTGAGATTTTTGTCCTCTCTATATGATATGTGAAGTCTTGTTCTCATGTCACGGTACTTTTTCGCCAGACCAAAATCAATAAGGTAAAGTTGGTTACAATGACGCCCAATTCCCATGAGGAAGTTATCTGGTTTTATATCTCTATGAATAAATGCTTTTTCATGGATCGTTTCTATTAATTTAATCATCTGGTCCGCAAGCATTAGAACTGTTTTTATCGTAAATCGGCGGGAACAGAAATTAAATAAATCCTCCAGAGATGGACCAAGTAGTTCCATGACCAAGACATTATAATCTCTTTCTATGCCGTACCACCTAAAAAAGAAATTTTTATTAATATTATTTAGTACATTTACATCAAGGTGTTTGATAAAATTAAATGAATAAAAATAACACCAGTCCATTAATGAACTTTAAAACACTAATTTGATAACATAACTTTGTTTTGACTTGACTTGACAAAACAAGGGTATATTCATGAAGCAAAAAAAAACTAGCAATGGTGATCATAGTGATTTCAATAAGATCAAATGTGAATTATTTAAATAATGTTTATTACTCTTCAGATTATCTGGTTATATCACTTGAAATCACAGTTTTGGATATATATATGTATTTAATGAACTGATGAGAGCTTATTAAGACTGAGAAAGATACATTTTTTTTATTAGTCTTAAAAAATTTCTAAATGCATCTGTGATGCAACATTGTAAATAGATCTAAAAGTCTATAAATAAAACCATAATTTTGTTAAAATATTTTAACGGAGTGGTTCCTTAATTTAAAAAATATATTATTTTTTTAGCGAGGGAAGAGATGGTCGGGGTAGCCTCATAAAAAAACTTAAAATAGCTTTTTACTATTTTAAGTTTTTGCTTTATGACCGCCACCCCGGATCAGGTCTTTCCTCAATATTATACCAGTCAACCAATGAGTATTGAGTATATATATATATTTGTTTACAAATTCAGCAAAGAACAAATCAGATCAAATATATATAAATATATGTAGATATCACAAAAAAATATAAGCGAATATGGCAGCAAGCAGAGGAAAAAACTTCTTTTTTTTACTAATATACATAATTTAATTTTAATGTTTTCATCAGAGAACAGCTCGAAAGATAAGGAGAGGGGCAGACCCTGAGACAAAGGTGTATTGTGTAGGCAGAACTTTCACTGGTCCCCAAGGCCAGTTTATAAACCTCTATGGAAACCTACCTTTGACAGTATGCCATAGATAAATCTCTTTATAAAACAAAATTGACGAGTCAGATTTATGAGCTGATGGAATGGAAAACAAAAATAATTCATAACGGACAATATAAAATTTAAAAAATGACTTTAGAATACATAGAATGGATGGTCCTTTTAATTATTTCTTTATTTTCACTTCCTTAAGCTTCTAGAACAAATTTTTTTTAATATTTTAATTTTCTTTAATCCAGGTTTAGTTATTTTTCCATAAATCAATATTCAATTCAATTAATATAACCAAAGTTTCTGATGAAACCGATGAAGGAAGGTTAATTTTTTATACAAACAAATATTTTATATATAAGAAATAAAAATTAGTATTTTAAAATGAGGTAATTTTAAAAATAAAAAATTAAAAAAGTTAAGAGAAATAACTTCGGTTACTCCTTACAGTATGTCTACAGGTTAAAAGTTAAAGATTAGTTGCTAAGCGAATACGTACAGCATGAATACAATTTTTCTCTTTTATTTAGTTATAATATTGAACGATTGAAGTGAAGACTTGCATCTCTCTTCTTATAGTACGGAATGAGTTGCAGACGGAATAATTTGATCACAAAAATAGAATAAAATTTTTCTTTTCCTGATAACGAGATTCCTGCTTGCCGCCCGTCGTAATGTTAATGATTACCGACCAATTTAATTACGGTTAATACATAAGAACAATAAAAAAAAAAAAATAGAACATAACGATTTTTTACAACGAATATAAGAAAAAAAAAAATACAAAATATAAATACGTAAAACTAGTACAAGACAATCCAAACCGTCAAGAGCGCCTGCCTTTCGTTCTTTTTATTTCATATCTGAATTCTACTATTGGTATTAGTATCATAATGAACAAATTGAATCATATAAATAAAATTATTAACACGTTATATAACGTTAAACACACATCCTAGTATCGCTGAAAAAAAACTATACTCAGATCACCGCATTTCCTAATTTAGCAACCTTCATTATACATCACGGATATCATTTAAAGCTTGTCGATTGTCTCGAGAGATTTAATTAACTAATGAATATTAAAAAATTGAATCGGGTTCGTACCAACAGTTATTTGATTCTCATTGCTGCAATAGTGTAAAAATCGAAGCATAAAGAAAAAAGAAAAATAAGCAACTAGCTAGCTAGCTACACGGCTTATTCCATTTGATAGCAGGAATCAAAACTTAAATTCTATGAGAAACATAGCTTCCTCAAATGTGCGAATATAAAAGTACTGATTTTCTGTGTATATATTTAGTGTAACGTAAAGAAATTGTTAGCTGTGCAAAGCAATCAATGACCTTAGCACCTGAATTAATGTTTATATAAACTTCACTCTAGACAATTAATACTTTAATTAAGTTTACATAAACAAGAGAAGTTCTATTAGTTAATAGCAGTTATTATTAGGTGTACTGAAGTGTAACATTATGAGTTCGTTTTAAGTTTTTTACAAGGTGTTAAGTAAGGTTTCCATGAACCCGAAACGTTTTCCAGAGAGCAAATTCAAAGCACAAAAGATTTCATTCAGTGACAAAGAGATGCCTGTATGATATGACCCGTTAAAAAACCATTTGTTTAACAATTTTAAAAACAGGAATTTCCAAACAATTTAGTCCCAGAGATCATCTAGTCTACAGAATTCAAAAACAATGTATCAATCCCATCATGAAGTCAGTAACTTGCGCATGGCCATCCGCACATTTGCTCTCTGCAGATTTGTGCAAAATTGTTAAATTTGAAATTTATATAGAAAATTAAGGGAAGTACTATTTAACTATTTTTCTCTATCATATAATGTAAGGAAAATAAGTGGAGGAAGCAAACTCTGTAGGACATTCTGTGGAATTCCGTTCTCGATTTGCTTACTACGCTTAATTACTATCAGAGAATATGTAATGAAAAAAATTTCTCAGCATTAAAATATAATAGTACAATTTGAGTCCAAATTCGAATCTCTACTACGATGATCCATAGTCGAGTTATTAGTCCAGCAAAGTTGGAGGAAAAAAAAACAGCCTTTCCTCAGAATTCAAAAAAATAAAGACGAAACATATCAGAAATTGTTCATTACCTTCTCCATAATAACTGGTAAAAAGTCCCAAAGAATCTCGCGTCGGGTTTTGATGAAAGAGAGGAGGAAGCACAGAAAAATGATATTTTTTTAGTTTTTAAGAATATCTCAAAAACTTATTCTTGATTAGTCAAGAACTTATTCCATATTAACATGAAGGTAAAGTTTGAAATAAAAATATTTAGGTGGGATTAGAAGCCTGAACAAACGTTAATGGTATGAAAATAAGCGATTTGTGGACTAATAGTGAGCGCGACGTGGGATTCTTAGGGACTTTTTACCAGTTGTTGTAGGGAAGGTAATAAACAATTTCTGACAAGTTTCATATTTATTTTTTTAATGTTGGTGTCAATCACTAGTTTTACAGGACTATATAGGGTACAGTAACTTTGGGGTATCAGCCCCTCTCCAGCCTAAACCTACCACTTTCTGAGGAGGCAACATGGAGTTTCCTACCGAGAACGACATCCTGGACAAGAATTTGAATATAAATCGCGGTATGGATTTTTGCATACTCAATCGCACTCACCGCCCAGACTAATTGTTTATTGGCATTAGAATAGTAAAATGCAATCAAATAGTTATCATTTTTCTACTTTTGAGAACTAAGACAGATAATATAGATTACCAAAGATAATAAAAAGTTCCAGTAAATAAAAAAAATCAAATCACAGATGAATCAACGATGGAAAAGGCTTTTAAGCTGAAACCCGCTCCCTAAAAAAAAAATTTTTTCATTGAATTTACTTCTGCGAGTAAGTGAAATAAATACTCAGATAATCAAAATAAGTACTTTCTACGCTAGGAAAAAAAAATAACCCTAAAAGCATTATTGTCCTTTAAGTTTTTTTTTTTTCATTTGCTTTTACAGGCCCTTCGAATACTACGAAAATATCACAATGAATAGCTTTCTATTTTTTATCTTTCACAGTAATTACCGTTATTAAAAAAAAAAAAAACCCTCCCCCTAAAAAATTAAATCCTGGATTCGCTACTACACACAGCTGAAACTTAACAAATTTAACTAATGCGACCTTTATGCGTTTGCAGCTAATGAAGGATAAACCTATAGATTCCATTATTTAAACAAATGAGTCACTATTCGGAAATCATGAAGTTATTTTTACTTGAAAATGTCAGACATAAAGTAGCGGGAATGGTGTAAAAATAGTCTCCCTGAATAGATGTGTAGGAAAGACCTTCGCCACTCGAGCAACGGAACATAACAGAGAAATTGTTAATGACAATCTCTTAAAAACTTAATAGCTGAAGAAGTATAATATGTTTAAATATATATAAATTGTTATTAATATAAAAAAGAAACGATAAAAATTAAGTTAGATTAGTCGGAGAAAAAAGAAAATTGTAGAAAAGAAAAACGTATTAAATGAAAGTAAAACATCATAAGTTATAAATTATTATAATTTAAACAGAAAATATTTTGAAAACGATTTTGTCATCTGAGGATGTATTAAGCAGATTTAGGAACATAGTTAGTTAGACCCGAAAGAAGTGAAGTAGTAGATGGACGAAATCGTGTTGGGTCTCAGTTGTTATATTTAAGGGGCCATGTTGTCAATCTGAGACGAAAATTTATAAAATATGAACTGGACTCATTTAAGATTGGCAATCCTATCATCTCTTGTATGATTGCTACTTCTGATTATAGAATGTATGCCCTATATCACCAGTAGGTCCAAAAGGTTTTATTAATGCCGTACAGAAAGTAACTATTTATGTTAAGTATAATTTAAAGCACTTAAACTTGAAAACCGTTCAGTTCCCTCCAGCCATCTCTGTATCATTGTTAGTCCAACGCAGAGACGCACATTGAATGATGTAGAAGGAATTGGCACATTATTAAATTGCATCAGATTAAAAAAATATCACTAAGATGGGTTTGTAGGATTTGGATGAAAGATGCTTGTAGATGTTCTTTGTAGTGCCGAATTATCAGAGATTGTAATGTCTGGTCGTGCTCTGTTAAGTATGATAGA